TCCCCCTGCTTGTGTTCCCTCTCTCGCTGTGTCTCTCTCTGTCAAATAAATAAATAAAATCTTTAAAAAAAAAAAAAAGGCTATTTTATGTATAAAGCATTATCTGTAAAGTAAAAAAATGATAAACTCATGTACAACAGTATAAGAAGAGTTACATAAATTATGATGTTGCAACTTGGTGGACCATTATGCAAAATAATGACTTTTGAAATAGCAGTAATTGGTTTGCTAAATGAAAAAATTAGAATGTAAAATTTTATGTGCTGTATTTTTAATGGTATAACATGTAGTTGGATTAAAACTAACACAAAAGAAGTATTTGTGTGAGGTTGTGGTGAATTACATATGATTTCCTTCCCCATACACATACAGTACACATTTTTCTTTATATTTATACTGATTTTGTAATTTATAAGAAAATATAGAAATAATCTACTTGCTTAGAAGAATATATACTAGAAATACTATAAAATAGCCTAATTGGAAAACTCTTTAACTTCCATTCTTTGCTTAGTCTCTTAAATCTTATAGCATTTATTTCATCCTTTTGGTTGGTTGGTTAGTTCGTTTAATTCCTGTCCTTTAACCTAGGACTTGAAGAGAGTTTTTTCTCATTACTCACAATTAGCTCTGAAGTGAAAACTATAACTGTCTTTGTTCTCTTCATTTTAATGTTAACATTGTTGAGTCATGGTATTTTGCACCTTGAAAGAATCTTAGTGATGATCTAGTCTAGTGGTTTTCAACCTTTATTTTTTGTTGTTTAACTGAGGAATTCTATCTTCAACTACATCTTCCATGGAAGCCTGATACGTAAATAAAAGCAGGGCTTCTGGCTTCAGTTGGCTCTACTTGCTTGATCCCGTTCTTCCTTTTGTTAGTTCCCTGGCACCATTTCCCTTGCGACAATTCCTTATACTTGTGGATATATAGTGCTTTATAATGTGTGGAGTGCTTTATAATTCCTTACCTCAAGATAGCCATCATTTCCCCCTCATTCTCTGACTTTAATTTCTTCATCTTAAAGCAAGGAGGTTGGACTAGATCAGCAATTCTCAATAGGATTAGGGCTTTTTCCACATAGTCATGGATAAAGCTTCTTATACATGCCCTTAACCATCTCCCAATTGGAAGCATGAAGTATAAATGATCTATTTTTTAATGAAAATTTTCAAATATTTGGCAAAGGTGAAAATTTTATGGTGAATATCTATATACCGACTACCTGAATTCTACCATTAATATTTTACTATACTTGTTTTATGTTTTATTATATATCTGTCTACCTATATAAAATTCTTTTTAAAGTCTAAAATTCTATCCTGGGGCACCTGGGTGCTCAGTCAGTTAATCGGCTGCCTTCGGCTCAGGTCATGATCTCAGGGTCCTGGGATCGAGCCCCGCCTCTGGCTCCGTGCTCAGCAGGAAGCCTGCTTCTCCCTCTCCTGCTTCTCCCTCTCCCACGCCCCTGCTTGTGTTCCCTCTCTCGCTGTGTCTCTCTCTGTCAAATAAATAAATCTTTTTAAAAAAATAAAAAATAAAAAGAAATAAAATTCTATTCTACATCTAGCTGTTGTCATAATGACTGATTCTGGTAAATCTTGAACCATGAAGTTTCAGGGGCTTATTCAGTACTAAAAATAAGATTAACTTATAAACTCTTTTTTTGTTGTTGTTAAAGATTTTATTTATTTATTTGACAGAGACAGAGACAGCGAGAGCAGGAACACAAGCAGGGGGAGTGGGAGAGGGAGAAGCAGGCTTCCTGCTGAGCCGGGAGCCCGATGTGAGACTCGATCCCAGGACCCTGGGATCATGACCTGAGCCGAAGGCAGTCGCTTAACCAACTGAGCCACCCAGGCGCCCCTAAATTATAAACTCTTAAATTACCACCTCTTCCAGGTCACTTCCCACCCGACCACTCAAATTTTTTCAACAACAGAGCAAAGTGTGGCTTGGAAAAAGGGGTAAAAGGAAGAACAGTTTCTCATAGTAAAGGTAGAGGATAGGTTGTATTGACTTTACATACCTAAAAGTTTAGGAGACCATATATAGTAAAATACCTTTGATTTAGGCAACTAATCTCTTAATGGCTTTTTCTTTATTCTTGATTTTATAGAGGTCAGTGAAAGCCTTAGTGATGAGTTTAAAAGAAATGTTCTCTGACTTGAAATTTCAGGAGGGGGTTCCTGAGGAGACTGATGACTTTGGAGAGTTTCGGATGAGGGTATCAGATCTGGTGAAAGACTTGATTTTCTTGATTGGGTCTATGGAGTGTTTTGCTCAGGTAAGTCCATTTGGAGATTCTTACTGGTTTTACTGATCACTTGAGTTGTGTTCACTTCTGTGTCTTCTGTAAATGTTCCACTTTTTTCTTAAATTTTAATGGCTAAATGGGACAGTAGATATGCAGGTGCCTAGCACACTGCCTGGCATATAGTAGCTTTGTTTGTTTAGTAGTCTGTGGATGGTTCAGTTATGGTTTACTCTCATTATTCTTGCTGTTGAAAGCTGTTCTACTTGTCCAGTCAGAATGGAAAATCATAGATAAACCTTAAGGCCCCAAGGTATTTATAGGGAACTTGGACCTAGCCAGGAAAATAGGCAAGTTTTTCTGCTTTATTAATTATGTGCCAAATCCTGGCAACTCTTTTAGTTATTTGGCATTTCCTTTGTCCACACTTACGGTTAGATTCCTGTGCAGTTTCATCCCAGAGGTGACTATACTAGAGTAGAAGATTCATAGTCCTATGATTTTCCTGACAGTGAGTAACATTTTACCTCATAAGGTTGCAATCATCACCATTCCACATCACTTAACATTAGCATAATTTCAGGCAGTTTTCATATTGCTGGATCATGCTCTAAGCTCTGAAATACTCGTTTTGATGCTTATCAGCAATACTGAACTAACCTTTATTTTTTTGGTAACCCAGCCATTTTGTATATTTGGGGGCATAATCTGATTTAGAAAGTGTTAATAAAATTATGCCTATTTTTTTTTTTAAGATTTTATTTATTTATTTGAAAGAGAATGAGAGAGAGAGAGCATGAGACGGGGGAGGGTCAGAGGGAGAAGCAGACTCCCTGCCGAGCAGGGAGCCCAACGCGGGACTCGATCCTGGGACTCCAGGATCATGACCTGAGCTGAAGGCAGTCGCTTAACCAACTGAGCCACCCAGGCGCCCAACCTATTTTTCTTTATATTAAGCGAAGTGTGTTTATTGATCTAATTACAAAGGGTTGAAGATTCCTAGAAAGCAGATTCAGTGAGATCACCAGATCATAAGCAGATGACCTGTGTTCACATTTCAGCTCTTCTGTCATTCACTATGTGGCTTTGAGCAAGTTACTTGTTCTTCAGATCTCAGTTTACAAATTTACTTAAATTGTCAGTGTTGTCCAAGATGTATTCTGTGGAACACCAGTCCTATGAGATGTTCTTGGGGGCGAGGGGAATCCTCAATTAAAATTGGGAAATGACTTAAACAGTATGTTAAAGGCTCGGTGAAGTCCTACAACAGGAGAATATTTAATTTTATCTTACTTAGCAGTGTTTGTTATTTGACTACAGAAACCTTATTTAAACTCACTGCCAATCAGATGGATATACCCTGGGAAATTTCTGGACTAGAACATCTCTTGAGTATTCTGCTTGGTCTCCCTTTTTCCTCCCCTTGCTTGGATATGGAATTCTAAATAGCTACTTTTTAAGAATTTATACTACTAGTGTTGATGCGGATAAGTCTTTAAAACAATAGAAATGTAAAATCAATACATATATAAGAAATTTACATTGTGTCTCAATTTTAAGTGTATTTATGTATTTAGCAGTTATTATAGGGATCAGGAAAAGACATTCATGTAATATGTTTTGCTTTTCCATAATACTCATTTTGTGGGGGCAGATGATAATCTTGATACACTCTTGGGGAATCTAACTGGGTTTATTTCGGATATTAAAATAGCAGTTACTTGTCGTTAGTGAAGATGTGAAAAATGAAATAATATTCTCCCCTGGCTCTGAGAGATGATTAATTTAGAAACAAGGGGCTGGATTTATTTTAACTAACAGGATTTTTTGTTTTGTTTGTTTTGGAATTCTATTCTGTTTTCCTTTTAATGGATCCATAATCCACCTCTTCTTCTCTAGTTATATTCTACTCTGAAAGAAGGCAACCCACCCTGGGAGGTGACAGAAGCGGTTCTCTTTATCATGGCTGCTATAGCAAAGAGTGTTGATCCGTGAGTGTCTAATAAGTCTTTTGCTGGGAACTCTAAATATCAAAGGAAGGAAAATTACACCATTTTTCTCATATGGTATATGTTTGGAAACTCTTAGAACTTCTTCTGTAATGCTGCCTAGTCTTCTGACTTCTAGAGTCTATTCCAGAGTAGCATGCATTGCTGATATTCATGTTTTAACCACATATCTTAGAGTTAAAATTATTTTGTTCTTGATGCTAGGAAGATAATGCTGATTTATTTTTCCAACTGAGGCTCCCTTGTGAAAGTTGATATAATAAAAAATTTGTTAGGCTGTTAAATTATTGGTACTTCCTTAAAAGCAGTTGAATAGGCACTAATTAGCTCTCCTCTGCTTTTGGACCTTGGGTAAGTTATCCTTACAAATATTTCATTATATTGTTCTCCTTTTTGTCTGCCTTAGAGAATCATTTGTGAGTTTCAGAAAGGCAAGACAGGCACCATTTCACCTTAAAAGAGTAGCAAAATCTAAGGGGCAGTTATTTTTGTTATTGTCATGGGAAATTTTTAATTTATTAGAATTTGATTTCTGATTGAGTAGCATAGAAATTCTATTACTTTAACATGAATTCCTAAAAACAAAATTTGTGCTGTGAGTTTATAAATTGATGCTAATATCTATTAAGTTTTCTTGTATTGTGATCAGATAACCTGCAACTGAGCTCTATCCCAGGCCTTGGTTGGAGAGATGGTTAAGGCATGTATTTATGAAAAGTATAGTGCTTCTTACTTAGCTGCTTACTTAGGGTTTAGTCAGTGAAATCTTACATTGTTTCTAATCCAGTAAATATTCAAGGAGAATAGAGTAAGTTTGTTTTTCTCTAATAAGATGTACTGGTCCTGAATTACATACCATACTGTTTGCTCTTAAATTTGTTTTGATATCTTTTGGAACCTTCAGTGATAGTCTGAAGATTATTAAAATCACTTCTATTCTAACTGATATGTGCTGGTGTGAAAAAGGATGGGTAGAGAGTCTCAAAAATTAGCTTAGTGCTCCCAGGAAACATAAGGCATAAATGAGAGAAGATTTTTATATTGTTTTTTGTTTATCCACATTTGAGGCCAACTGCATGATTATAATTTTTTAGTGTATATAAGGACTTAGTTTATCAGCATGGAGTGGTTTTACTCTAATCCAGGACATTATTTGGATTTTAAACATCTTTCGTTTCTGGATTATATCCTACACTACGGGGGCATAAAGAATTTCAGCCAGTATTCTTGGGGAGTGGAAAAAAGACAAGGAAAGGGAAAAAATAAATTCTTGGAGCCATGGAGAGTATTTGGTTAACTTTAATTTTCCCTCATGTTCCAAGTCAGGGCACCTTTACCTATTCGTGCAGCTTGTATTCTTGTTCCTTTAGTTAGTGAGCTGGCCCACCCATACTTACCTGTTCTTAAAATTTCCAGTATCCAGCTATCAGAAATCTTTTGGAGAAGAACTAATACCAAGTGGTCTGTGAGAATTATTCATTCATTTAGCCATTCAATATTTATTGAGTGCCCACTATGTGCCAGGCACTGTTCTAGGTACTGCAGATATAAGAATAACTAAAACAGATTCTTTAAAAGAAGACATTCATCCACAGTAAATGCCTGCCTCTCCAATTTGAAGAACCTTATTTGATAGCAGGATGTGTCTTTAGATACTTTATTGGCATTTAGAAGATTAAGGAGCAGTATGCTTCTCTGAAACAGTATCTTCTGTTTCTGTCTTTTTGCCTTAAAAAACTTTCATACCAAATGTTAAGGACTTTCATCCAAATGGTTATGTGTTTAGAAAAAAGCAATGATTTGTCTTTTTGCGGCCTGTTACTAGACCAGAATCTAACCTCCGAAATCAGTAACTGTGAGTACTTGCCTTTTGTACTCAGGGAGAACAATCCAACACTTGTGGAGGTCTTAGAAGGAGTTGTCCGTCTTCCAGAGACTGTACATACAGCTGTGCGATACACCAGCATTGAATTGGTTGGAGAGATGAGCGAAGTGGTTGATCGAAATCCTCAGTTTCTTGGTACGTATGAACTCACTCCTCTGCAGCTGCTGAGAATGATTTTTCTGATTTTGTTCTTCTTCTCTTACTTTTGCTCTTGTTCGCTTGTTCTCTATTTTTATTGGTAGGTAGAATATTTCTAGACACTGAGAGTAAATACTGTATTATGAGTTATTGCTTAGTTGACACAACATTTATAAACTGATCATCCTTTGGAGAAGGGATCTTTGAAAGATTAGATCTCTAGATAGGGAAACAGTTTGCTTCTAGTAGTCTGCTTTGGCATGAACATTGCTGTTAGTCTCTGGCACATGCTTGAGCTAATCAGACTCCCTGTAGTTCTAACTTAGGTGCTATTAATAGGCGAAAGCAAAGGAAAGGTTTTTTTCAGTGTTAAATACATGCTCCTTTTAAAAATCAAGAATTCTCATTTGAAACAAAATAAGTACAAATTAAAATTAAGAATTTTGACTTACATAACCTCTGGATGCCCTTATTGGCTTGAAAAAATAAAGATTATACAGAGTAACTTTAGAATCAAAAGTAAAGGTTGAAGTCATTTATTTTATTCCTCTCATTTTGCAGATAAATCCAAAGAGACTAAATAATTTATCTAGGGTAGTATATATTAAGCCCCCCTGATAGGAGTGATATGTTCTGAGAATTTTAAGAACACCCCAAACTTGTGAATATCACTAATTATATATTAAGTTTGATGTATTTCCTATGCTTATATTATCATCATTTTTTTTTTAAATTCCAGTATAGTTAACATAGAGTGTTATATTAGTTTCAGGTGTACAATATAGTGATTCAACAGTTCTGTGCATTACTCGGTGCTCATCAAGATAAGTGTACTCTTAATCCCCTTCACCTATTTCACCCATCCCCCCACCCACTCCACCTCTGGTAACCATCCATTTGCTCTCTGTAGTTAAGAGTCTGTTTCTTGGTTGTCTCTTTTTTCCTTTGTTTTGTTTCTTAAATTCCACATATGAGTGAAATCATACGGTATTTCTCTTTCTCTGACTTATTTCACTTAGCATTATATTCTCCAGATCCATCCATGTTGTTGCAGATGGCAAGATTTCATTCTTTTTTATGGCTGAGTAATATTCCGGTGTGTGTGTGTGCATGCACACATGTGTTTACACCCCTTCTTTATCCATGCATCTTTCAGTGGACACTTGGGTTGCTTCCATAATTTGACTGTTGTAGATAATGCTGCATTAAACATAGGGGTGCATGTATCTTTTTGAATTAGTGTTTTCATATTCTTTGAGTAAATACCCAATAGTGAAATTACTGGATTATATATTTATTACCACCTTTCAGCTTGATTTTATTTTACATATGATCTTTTTTATTATTTGAAACTCTTGCTTAAAAAGTGATGTTTCTTTTTTCTTATTTCTGTATGTAGAGCATATGATAGACATGCTCACATTATAGCTGAGATACTTTCAAGTTCAACATACCATTTAAAGATTTTTTTCAAAATACCTATTTTCTAGGGGCGCCTGGGAGGCTCAGTCATTAAGCATCTGCCTTCGGCCCAGGTCATGATCCCAGGGTCCTGGGATCGAGCCCCACATTAGGCTCCCTGCTCGGCAGGAGGCCTGCTTCTCCCTCTCTCACTCCCCCTGCGTGTGTTCCCTCTTTCACTGTGTCTCTCTCTGTCAAATAAATAAATAAAATCTTTAAAAAAAAAATACCTATTTTCTAATTCTTAGATTCTTCACTTCTGTTATCTATCTCAACATTTGACTTTCTTCTCTGAATGTTTTTCCACAAGAAACTAAAGTGAGTTTGTTTGTTAAGCCTTATCATTCAGTACCACCATGCAGTATCTCATTTAAATGTGTGCTTCAGCAATAAGACAAATTGCTACATGTTTGTACTTTAGAATAGTTAAAACAATACGTTCCATTGAGAATCACAGAAGCATGCAGTATTATAGTTCCCTATACTGTATACTTAGTTCTTCTGATTCCTAGGCTTAAAAGTTTTAGGCTTCTTTTGTGGAGGGGGCCAAGGGTTCATGCTGGTTGGTGTATCAGATCGGTCATTAGACTAGAAATGGAGATAACATTTTAATGTGCTTTTTGACATTCTTTTGATTCCTTCTTTCATGGTTTGGTATGAGGTTATTCTGACATACTTATAAAGTGCTCTTTTAATCATATGTGATTTTTCCATAGAAAATCATTCTGATTTTTATAAAGTAAGGTAAAAGACAAGTAGAACGTGCTGTATAGAAATTCACCAGTTTGATCAGTTTCTTTGGAACACTTACATTTGCTACAAAGTAGAATATTTTTCTAGAAGTACTAAAGCTCAATCTGCCTGTTTTTAAGGCCTTTTCTAACTATAAAGAAGCAAGTATAAAAGTGTCCACTTTAGATAACTGTCATTGTCCTGATTAACGTAGGCTGTTTTTACATAGTGACTCATCTCTGAGTATAAATAATGGTAGCTCTCTGAGTGAGCTTTATATTCTTTCTTATATTACCTTATTCTTAATACTTGGATGGTCTTATCCACCAGTGGTTTTCAAACCATGCTGTGTGAAGGCCTAGCCATGAGGAAAGAAATAGAAGGTGGATAGATAGGACCCAGGGCTCCCTGACACTATGTCAGTGAGATGAGCTCCTTTTTTTATGTTTTATATATTGGAGTTTGAACACATTTCATTTTTTTAAATAGTTGTTTTGCTTAAAAGGGGGAGGGCAGGGATATAAACCTCTGTTCTAAGAAACTAGAAGTTTTCCTTGAGTTTCAGAAATGTAATGTCTACTGTATGGTTTCTCTCCTTAGACCCTGTGTTGGGCTATTTGATGAAAGGCCTGTGTGAAAAGCCTCTGGCTTCTGCTGCAGCCAAAGCCATTCATAACATTTGCTCTGTCTGCCGAGACCACATGGCTCAGCACTTTAATGGACTCCTGGAGATTGCCCGTTCCCTTGATTCCTTCATGTTGTCTCCAGAAGCTGCTGTGGGCTTGCTAAAAGGTATTTACTTCAGATGTTAACAAGTAACGTCTCTAAGCCACTTCTGGAGGGTTATCTTATACTAGTCAGATCCCAATTTTTCAGTTGCAGGATGCTTAGTGATGGAGAGAGTTGGCTGTTCCACTCAGGGGAAGGTGTTGATTATATATACATGCATTCTTTTCTTAGAATATTTTAAGGCCGTATAACTAATTCAAACTGCTTACAGTGTGTATAGCACAGACCTAAATTTTGGGGTGGCGATGACACATTTGAACTAAACATAGTTCCTTTTTGAGTTGGGGAAAGAATAAAAAGGGAAACCAGATAGCATTGCCATACCAAAGTGGTAGGTGGAAACTTAAAGGTAGTGTGTGTGGATCAGTCCTGTCAGTAGAAACTTGGTCTCTTAGTGGTCTTTAACCATTATGGATCAGCTTTACACTCAGTGATTGCCTATCCAGAGGCAAGCAGCCAAAGTAGTGATGAGGTTCAGAGTAAGAAGAACTAGATTAAGGCTAGGAAAAAAGAAGAGACTTTAAGTATGATGGCTATTTTTAAATATTTGAAAGATTATCCTATAAAAGAGGGAACAGATTTATTTTATGAGTAGTAGTCAGTTGTTGACATGTACTGGCTTTTAGAAAGAAAGCACTTTCTAACTAAACTCTGAAAACAGATTGGGGCGCCCTGTGAGGTAGTGAAATCCTTACAGCTTGTAGTTAGAGGGGATTGAGGATATATCAAATAAAAGATTGGGTAATATAACCTGTGTGGCATCATTTAAGCCTCTGTGAATAGCAAACAAGTTAGTCTTGGCTAGACTGGATGACCTTGTGTGGGAACTAACTGATCTTTCTATATCTATGGCCAAGTTCCTTTCCAGTCAGTGTATCTGCATTTTCCAAGACAGATTTTCTTTTTGTAGCGTGGGTTTTTGTTGTTTCCATTCATAGGCATAGGTAATAAAGCATTGAATCAGAGTCAGATATTCTTACTACTGAATTACTGCTAGTGGTTATTTCTGCCATCTCGTAATTTTCTAGTGAAATTTAACCTTGATACTGAAGTGACGTCTAACCTGTATGTTGTAGGATGTGGCATCTCCGTCATCAGTGATATCTTCTTAATAAAACTTTTTATTTTTAAATTTTTTTTAAGATGTAATTATGGGGTGCCTGAGTGGCTCAGTTGGTTAAGCGTCTGCCTTTGGCTCAGGTCATGATCCCAGGGTTCTGGGATTGAGCCCTGCATTGGGCTCCCTACTCAGCAGAGAACCTGCTTCTCCCTTTTCCTCTGTCCCCTGCCTGTGCTCTCTCTTTCATGCCTCTCTCTATATACGTCAAATAAATAAAAAAAAAAAGGAAAGATGTAATTTGAGAGAGAGAGAGTGCATGTGAGCAGGGAAAGGGGCAGAGGGAGAGAGAATCCCACCTAGACTCCTAGCTGAATGGGGATCCCGACTTGGGGCTCCATCCCACAACCCTGAGATCATGACCTGAGCCAAAATCAAGAGTCAGCCTCTTAACCGACTGAGCCACCCAGGTGCCCCATAAATACATCTTAAAAAAAAAAATTCAAAAAATAAAAGTTATAATAACATTCTTTTCTGTGGGAATGAATTAAAAGGAAAAAGCATATTTAAGTTAGAGTCCCCCCTCCGGTTTTAAATAAGTCTAACTCACCCATGGCTTATAGACTACCAGGAAAAATCATTTAGTTTTTTCATTCACATTTTGACTTATGGATTGATTATTATTCTGTTGAATGAAATTTTGGAAGAGAGAAAAATCAGTCATGGAATTTTTTTTTTTTTTTTTACCTTGGAAAGGACCTAGACTGATACATAATCGTTTGGCTCTGGGGGAGATGCTTCAGCTTTGATGGGCATTATGATAAGAGGAAGGCTGAATGAGAAGGGTCTGGGCCTTTTATTCCCACTTTAAGCTAGCTACTTTTTTTATAAATGTATTTTATTGGAGTTCCAAGTTAAGATTTTATTTAATAAAAGAAGGGGTCGGTAGGCTTTTGCAACTATTTAAAAAATGAAAGAAAGGCAAACTAACTTATTCTTCTGTTCAAAGCACTCAAAATTTTACAGATAAAGAAACTGAGGCCCAGAGATAATACCTTACCTAGCTCATAGATTCTGTTATGGTATAACTAGAATCAGATCTCTAATTTCAGCCCATTCTTACAAAAAAAATTATGTTTCTCACACTTCTCTGATGATAAGAATTGCTTACAGTACTTATCAAAAATAAAGGCTGTCCTTGACATGCTAGATCAGAACCTCTGGGAAGTTTGAGAACCATTGTACTGTGCTATATAAAAACAGCTTTGGCATTGGCTTTGTGAAGGAGATTTTTTTTAAGTATTTGAAGAATTGGAAGGGGAGATGTATTTAAACATCTTTAAACCCATAGTCTGCTGAGGAGAGAGAATTTAATATTAACTTCAGTTACAAATGTTAGTGTGAAGGTCACTTTGTTGTCTAAGCCAAATAAAGAGAAACCGACCTAAATAACAAGATACTATAACTGAAAAAGCAATGTTGATCTTTTTAAAAGAATGAAACCAGCCAGCCTCTTCTGTTAGTCAAATGATGGAGACCAATGAGTTACCTCAGTTCAGCTTTTATTTTGTTTTATTTGTATTTTTCTTTGTCTTGCAGGGACAGCACTTGTCCTAGCCAGGTTACCTTTGGATAAGATTACTGAATGCCTTAGTGAACTATGTTCTGTTCAGGTTATGGCATTGAAAAAGGTGAGTCCAATTTAAAAAGGGGTTTAGTAAGACAGAATTTACAGGTGATCTTTTATCTACCTAGACAAGCCAAAAGAATGAACTAAAAAGTTATTAAAATTAATAAATCTGTCAAGGGAGCTGCCTACATGGAATAAGTATTCTAAAATCAGTAGATTTTCACTATCAGTAATACAATTTAGAAGATATAATGGGGAAAATACCATTCAAGTTAGGAACCAAAACCATAACCTACCATGTTTCCTTCAAGAATATTGTAAAGTTGTCAACTCTTCTCAAGTTACATTTATAGTGCAATAATAGAATTTGACATAATGATTCTAAAGTTTATCTCTAATGATATTCTGGTAGAAACATTTAAGAAATTTTAGGAAAGAATAAGAAGCAACTTGTTTTATCTCTTAAAATTTATTATGAAGCCTTAGTCATTTTGAAGTGTTGTAATAAAAAAAAGCAAAAAAAAGTGTTGTAATAGAAAGTGAAATAAAGATATAGATTATATAATAATGTTACATATGATCTATATTATATAATGTATATAATGTCTTGGTCATTATAAAAGTAAATGGGAAAAAAATTAAATAATACTGTTTTCCACTCCACAGTGATCATGTCGTAAAATGTAGTAATATGCAGTCTTGGGCATGATGCAGTAAGGTGAAGGAAAGTAGTTTGACAATATGAATTTAAAAGTTTGTACTATTTGAGTTTGCACCACCCTAGAAGGAAATAAGCAGAGATTGAGAGGGAGGTTGATGTAAGGATGTATGTTGCAGTGCTTGCGGTAGGTATGTATGTGTAACAACAGGGTATTGATGCCTCTCTGTCCCTTCAGCTGTTGTCTCAGGAGCCCAGCAATGGTATATCCTCAGATCCCACTGTGTTCTTAGATCGCCTTGCAGTAATATTTAGGTAAGAAGTGAGACTGGTTCCCTGCCTTGGGTTAATGCTCAAATAAGACCATTGTGTATTGGAGAAAGCAAGTGTTGTTTTCCTAAACTTCAGGTGCCGCCTATAATCTCTTCTGTTAGGAGACTGATAAGCCCATTACCCGAAATTTTGGTGCAAAGACAAAGTCTAAGAATATGTTCTTGGCAGACCTTTGTCAAAAGATCCTCTAAAATGTAATTAAAATTTTTGGTCTCTAGATTGGTGATTATCAGACTTTAACATGCACCACAGCCATCTGGAGGGCTTATCAAAACAAATTGCTGGTCCTATCCCCAGAGTATCTGAGTCAATTGAATTTTGGGTAGGACCCAAGAATTTACATTTCTAATAAGTTCCCAGGTGATGCTGTTGCTGCTGCTTGCTATTCCAAGGACCACACTTTCAGAGCTATTGCTGTGTTTTGTAGGGATGCAAAAAAGTCATGAAGCCTTTTCATTGATCACGTGAAATTAATCCTTCTTTGAAGGATCTTTCTTTGAAGTCAAGAGGAGCCTAATGATTAAAAAAAGCACTTGAGTTTTGAGAGCTTTTTATAATTTGTCAGACCCATAGATATAACTGGAATATCAGAGTAGTTGTTATGTAAAAGCCTATGTGGAGTAAGTTAAAACTGAGGTGTGTTAGCTTATGTGTTCTTGTCAGCAGGTTTTTCTTTTTAATTTGGTGCAGTGCTTTTCTTATATAATCATGATAGCCCTGTTATATGACATTCTGAAAGCCCAACCAACAGTCCTTACTTCACAATAAATGGAAGAAAATCTGCAATAGATGGAAATCCCCCAATTTAAAGAAAATAAGATTTTTATTAAGTTGCTGTTGAGCTTATTGAAATTAAAGAATTTCTTTCTTTTAAAGAGGTTGGTAATCATACAGGATTTTTTTCCTGCTTTCTTTCAAATTAATGGATTCTAGAACTAGACAAGTAATTGGATTTGACATACTATGAGTGGGCCCATATCATGTATCACTGGATTCAGACTAGAACCATGAGAAACATCTTGGGTAGACTAGAATTCCTGAAGCTTTTGCCTTTTAATGCTGAGAGTGGAACAGTACTTGGTTTCTCATAGTGGATTTAGATAACCTGGTTTTTAATTAATATTTTTTATTAATTTAGAAGAGTCTACCTATTCTGGTTTTAAAGAGAAAAAAAAGAAAAAGATAATTGTGCTCCACAACCCATGTTAAGCCAGAGTTAGATTGAGTTCCCATGCTTTAGTGGAAGTGGCTTAAAGGTGGCAAAAAAAGGGAGAGGGGGAATGATTTAAACCATGTGCTTGTGTTTGTTTGACTGAATAGAAGGAAAAGGTGTTGAGTCATAAATAACTTTATTATTTTGGTATTCTTTATGTGGTAACAATATTACCAAGTAAGCTAGCGGGGTTCGGGGCTGTGGCTCTTCAGTTAAATTGCTCTTCTTTTACTATTTTGGGTTGTTGCCTTTCCCCAGACACACCAATCCCATTGTGGAAAATGGACAGACTCATCCGTGCCAAAAAGTCATACAGGAAGTAAGTGCTTAACGGATGCCCGTGGAACAAGGCTTTCTTCCTTTTTCCTTACAAGGCTGTGGGTAACTAAAGTGAGAAGGTATTGTCTTCTAGGTTCATAGGAAGATTGAATTTGTTGATACAATTGATACAGTTTAAATTTCAATGAATAGAAGAATTTATATTCAAATAAATATTTTTTACTTAAGATTTGATAAGAAAACAGACTGTGGGGAAATGCACTCAAAGTCCAGAGAAGTAGAGAGAGATTAACTATGTGAATCCTGGAGTTGCTAGGAGGCCTGATTAATACTAGCAGAATTTTTTTTGACAAAGCCATTTATCCCTCATTGCTTTTGTTTCCCAATCGTAAACACACTTCTCCTTTTTTCACGGAGGGTAATATGAGGATCAAAAGGCATGTTTTGAGAAGTGCTTTTCAGACTTCAGGGGGGAAACACCAAGTATCCATAAGTGACAGTATCAAATAGTGCCTTTTTATTAGCTGTGCCCTTTTGTTCAAAGAATTCCAAATCAGAACTGTCTTTAAACATCTGTTCCTCTATAATTCATACTAATTCTTTTCATCCTAAATCAGGAATTCCAAAGTTTATCTTTTAGTGAAGTTAGACATGCTCTTCTTCCTGTTCTAAAGAGTCACTGCTTCTCTTAAGAAGTGGTTGTGTTTTAGCGATGGATAGCATATTGCGTACACACGCACGCACACATGCACTCATGCACACTAGATTCAGGCTACGTGTTTTCCTATAAAGAAAGCTTTTCCCAAATTATTTGAAAACCAAATCAGATGTTACCAACTTGGGAGCATTTTTTTTTTAGCTCTTAGGTGTTCATTGTTTTCTTTCTTGTGCTCTTTGACTTTTGACTCAGATATGGCCAGTTTTATCTGAGACTCTAAATAAACACCGGGCTGATAATCGGATTGTAGAGCGTTGTTGCAGGTGCCTCCGCTTTGCTGTTCGCTGTGTAGGCAAAGGATCTGCAGCCCTGCTTCAGCCACTGGTTACACAGGTAAGTTCTTCCTGAGAGGGAAAACGTAAAGTGTACAGAATTTGAAGTAGGAGTCTTTATTTCTTTTTTAAAGATTTTATTATTTGGGAGAGGGTTGGGGGGAGCAGGAGCGGGGGGAGGGACAGAGGGAGAGGGAGAAGCAGACTCCCCGCTGAGCAGGGAGCCTGACTTGGTGCCTCTCCCAGGACCCTGAGATCATGACCTGAGCTGAAGGCAGACGCTTAACTTACTGAACCACCCAGGCGCCCCTGAAATAGGAGTCTTTAGAACAAAAACTTTGCTGATGAAATGAAACACTTTTGTATTTATTAAATTACAAACTCCAGAATATTTGAAAGAGATAAGTGGTGCCTGTGGTATGTTGTCTCTGAGGGAAACTGCCTATAATCTATTCTGTATAGTGATAGTCTAAATAGTAACACATTCCACTGTGAAATTAAGAAGAGAATCACTTTAATGCTCAGCTCTCATATACCAGCGCTAAGCATTTTTATACTAATTTTTCTTTTTAAAATGTGTCCTGTCAAATTTTGCTGTTTCTTGGCCCAAAGGAATTTTTTTCTGTCTCAACCACAGATGATCACATAAGTCTGTTACTTGTCAAGAAATGTTTGACTCTTTCATAATCACCAAGATTGATACATAATTATGATGGTGTGACTCAATGTATGAGTTCTCTAAGATCACATTCACATCAAGAACTATTCTATAAACAAAGCCTATAACTAGTAACTTAGATCACTAAGTAATTTGATGTTAACCTTACAGCAAAGCCAGGACTAGATTGAGGCAAGGCAAAGTGTCAACGTTGGCATTTGCAGGACTTGGAGTAAGTGCCTTCTTAAGTTTTGCATCCATGCATTGAGGGAAAATGCACAGCTCCAGGCTGGGCCACACCCACCCAGCCAGAAGTGACCTTTGTCTACCTGGACAGTATATCCATGGTGCAGATTTTAAGGAGGCAAACCCTCTGAGGAGCTGACCCTGACAATGAGTGCCCCCTTAAATTCTGCACCCTAGGTGCCTTTTTTTTTACATGTTAAATTTTATTTTTTAAGTAACTTCTACACTCAGCGTGGGGTTCAAACTCATAAACCTGAGATCCAGAGTCATATGTTCCACTGACTGAGCCAGCCAGTTGTTTTTTTGTTTGTTTGTTTTTATTTATTTGTCAGAGAGGGAGAGCACAAGCAGGGGGAGTGGGAAGCAGGAGAAGCACGCTCATGTTGGGCAAGGGGCCTGATGCAGGACTCGATCCCAGGACCCTGGGATCATGACCTGAGCCGAAGGCAGACGCTTAACCGACTGAGCCACCCAGGCATCCCCCCGCCTTTTTTAATAGAATTTGTACAATATATTTCTCTTCGCTTGCATATTTTACCGACAACTTAACATCCTTTTTACAGGCTGCACTCACTCAGCTTGATATAATCAAAATTCTTTCTTTCAAACAAATAAGAAAAATTCAAAATCGTAAACCCTTAAGAAAACAAATTAAAAATGTTGAAAATAAGTCACTCCTCCCATTAGGAGCAGTGTCCATTTGTACAATATATAGGGTTTGGGTTAGAATCTCTTTATGGATCAAGCACATGTTTTCACGACACCTTTATTCTTGCCAGTTTTATTAGCTCCTGCCTGGCAACTCTGCTGGTCTTGGAGGTGTCGGTTCCTTGGTGGCACCTGGGAGCCGAGGCGGGTGGGATGCAGGGTGGCCGGGCTGGTGGGGCAAGCAGGGGAGAGCAGCAGCTGCATGCAAAGCAGAACCTGGGCTCGCTCTGTGCAAAGTGGTCAGAGAGACCAGAACAGCCAGGGCAAGGACAGACAGCAGCGGGCAGAGGCCAGCGTTTATTTACAGTTCAGCTTCCTGAGGATGGAGAGCTAAGTTTGTGGTGACTGCCCCCAGAGGTGTGACCCTGCCCCGCCTGTCTCTCCTGGGCACCTCATTCTTAAGGAAGCACGCACCCTCAAGTAGGGTCATGCTAGTGCAGTATCAGTTGGCATATGCACAGCCCTGCCTCCTTTATATTATAGATTTGATTGAAGTTTATGTTTATTGTACCCTGAGGATACCATATGTTTGTACTGCATGTTTGTACTGTTTCCACCTTTGGTTATATGTCCTCTTCAGTGTAATCCATTCTGGGTCGAACATAACTTGATTTAGTGCCCCTTTGCTGTTAGAGGATACCCTCATGACTTTGATTTTTTTTTTATTCCTGCTAATTAAGTATGCGACCAACCCAGTTGAGTAGCACCTTGTATAGGAAATGTGTTCTAAAGTCAGTATATGTGAAAAAATGAAAAGTATTTTTTAAAATCCAAAAATCAGAAGTCAGCAAACTAGAACCAATGGGTTTTGGTTTTGTAAATGTAGTTTTACTAAGATCCAAAAATCAGAAGTCAGCAAACTAGAACCAATGGGTTTTGGTTTTGTAAATGTAGTTTTACTAAGAGGTTGCCATGCTTATTCATTTAAGTATTCTGTATTGGCCAGTTGTGCTATAGTGGCAAAGTTGAATAGACAGATCATATGACCAGCAAAGCCTAAAATTTTTACTATCTGGCCCTTTAAGAGAACGTTTACCAGCTCCTGACTTAAATCATTCATTATGTAGAGCACATAGTTTTGAGTATACAACACCGAATAGAGTCATAGCTCTCATCACATGCCCATTCTGTGGTATATGTTAATAATAAGAGTCAGTCACTTTGTCTTACAGCCCCCACCACACTCATTGAGTTGAATTTATATAATAAAACCAGTACATTCGGTTAAGCGTCCGACTCTGATTTCAGCTCAGGTCTTGCTCTCAGGGTCATGAGTTCAAGGCCTGTGTTTAAAAAAAAAAAAAATCAATACGTGTGTTGTGATGGCATTTTACATTTTAATTTTTGGAGGAGAATAGGGAAAAAATGCTAAACAAATCATTTAATTCAAATATGTATATTGTATTAACATTTTTATTCTCTTGAGATCCAGGTATCTTGATTAGAAACACTGTTTTTTACTTAAAAGTTTAAGTAGAGGGGTTTAGAAACAACTCAAAATTTAAACAGTGCTTTCACAGTCTCTTTCAGGATAAGGGTATTTGGTATTTTTAGCCCTGCTATAGCTATATATGCTTGCTTTTTTTTTTTCTTAATAGTTAATCTTTAATGCAAATAAGAACAACCTTTAGGTATTGGGATTTATGCTAGGATTTTGCAAATAGCTTGGATGATTGCATCTTACTGGCTTCCAGCTTGAGCTATTATACAGCTCTCTTACAACATTGTTTTGGGAAGATAAAAGGTCAAAGGCTGAAAGGACTCTAAAAAGAGTACTTGAAAATTATTGAAGAATTGAGCCCTGTGTTTCAAAAAATGTTGCCAACAAGCTTTACTATGTTGCCTTAAAGAGAAGAAACCAGTCTGTCTCTGAATTTCTTCCTCCAGACAGTTTCCTAAGTTGATACTTAGGCAGGTAAAGAATTGAACAACTGGTTTCTCCCTTGGCAGATGGTGAATGTGTACCATGTACATCAGCATTCCTGTTTCCTGTACCTTGGCAGTATCCTTGTGGATGAATACGGCATGGAAGAGGGCTGTCGGCAGGGACTACTAGACATGCTCCAGGTCTGTTTTCCCTGGGGAGTATCTTGGAGGGATTAAAGCCCTGAGCGGTTTGTTCTTCACCATGTTTTGAATTCTCTTGCTTCTCATTGTTTATCCTCCAGGCATATTGATTTCCTAATAACAGAGAGGTAGAAACTTGCTAGTTGTTCTCTGGACAGACATGCCTGGGAGAATGAGAGATTGACCATATGACTGTAAGGATCATTACAGCTATTACTGCCAAATTTATGCTCTCTAGAGATAATGGTTTTTTGAGAGGTGGAAAAGGGAACAAACGGATATAAAACAAAAGATCTCTAAGCTCAAGCATGATTCTATTTTTAGGTTCTTGCCTAGAACAACCAGTGAACTAACTCACTTATTAGCAGGGATGGTCATAGGGTAAATAGTAGGCATTGGAAAAGGCTCTTGATACACTGCTTTTTTCCCTCCTAGTCATAGGGAGGAAAATATATTAGGGAGTTAATGATGCTCCTTTTCACAAGATGTCTTGCCCTTTAAAATTGACATTTCATGGGGCACCTGGGTGGCTCAGTCAGTTAAGTGTCCGACTCTTGATTTTGGCTCAGGTCATGATCTCAGGGTTGTGAGATCGAGTCCCACATCAGGCTCTGGGCTGGGCGTGGAGCCTGCTTAAGATTATCTCTCTCCCTTTGCCCACCACCCCCACTGGCGTGCTCTCTCAGAAATAAAACCGACATACTATCCTTAAAACTTCAAAAAAAACTTCATCTACTCCTTTAGTGGACTTGACCATATCTAGTACATAAGCAGTCTTTACTTTCAGAAACTTCTAAAACTTTCTTTTTTTGAGAGAGAGAGAGAGTGAGCTGGGCAGGGAGCGTGGGAACAGGGAGAGAGAATCTTAAGCAGGCTCCATGCCTAGCATGGAGCCCGACGCGGGGCTCACTCTCATGACCCTGAGATCATGACCTGAGCTGAAATCAAGAGTTGGGCGCTTAACTGAGCCACCCAGGTGCCCCCGGAAACTTCTAAAACTTTGAGATGACATCTGTCCAGTTTCATCAACTAAAATTTATACCCTCAACCCTTTCTGAAATGTGGACTTCATATGTGAAAAGTATATCAATTGAGAAAGATTTCTCTCTTCCTTTTCTTGATCTGATTCTCATCATAGTCTTTTTCTTTTCCCACTTTGCTTCCCCCACTTTGTTCCTTTTGTATATGTTGTGATATTTAGCAAGTCTGAATGCTGTTGGATTTATATACTAGCATTTATTTAAAACCACTGTTCTGTTTTAGGCACTGTGCATCCCTACCTTTCAGCTGCTGGAACAGCAGAATGGGCTCCAGAATCACCCTGACACTGTGGATGACCTGTTCAGGCTGGCCACCAGGTCAGTCCTTCTGAAGAGCAACCCTTTCTTTTATTGCTTATCCCCATCACTGCTTCGTCTTGTCATGTAACACTTGACTGTTTGCTTCTCTATAAAATGAGGTTAGTGAAGTATAGGTAGGTTAATGATTCATAGCCCAAAGTTAAATTGTGAACCAGAATATCCCTGTAAGTGAGGAAAAGGAGTTGGATGGGAGCAGGGTAAAGCAGCTGGGTTTCTATCACAAAGGAGAGAACATGGACAAGACAAAACCAGCTTGGTAAAAACATATGACTAGAAAATCTCTAGAATCCCCTGTAGTTTTAACTTTCTGTGCTGCTCTAATGACATGATCCACTTCAGCTTTTTCCTTTAGGAAGCTTGGCATCCTTTAGATGTAATCACATCTCAGAGTAAAAAATTCTTAGGATTTTAAGGTGCCTTAGAAGGTATCTTGTTCTGCACTTCCTGGTTCTACCCCCAGCTTTCCACCCCAGTTTTTGCTTAAAATTCCTTTTACCAGTAACACTGACTTAGATTATTGCCAAACCTTTGAATTCTTTCTTTAGTCCCTCGCTAAGGAATTTGAACCAAATCAGTTAGTGAACATAAAAGCATTTAAAAATTATGAAAAATAGATTATTATATGTAATTATATATTTAATACATATTTTATCACAAATGCAAAGTAGTATTGACTATTTCAGGATTGTATGTCAGACGTTTTTTTGGTTAGTTTTTGGACAAGTTAGAAACACCTTTGTTGTTGTTGATACGGGAGAACGTTGGGTGGACTCTCCAGTCTCTGTTTTCCCAATGTGTGTTCCTTGAAAAACTGATCCCCAGAGATGCCCTTTGCACATAAGCATTGTGAAGTAAATTTGGAAAATACTGTATCTTTTTTGTGGAGATTCTCCATGTACATTAAAGGGTCTGAGAAATCTTGTGGGACGTTGAGTGGAAAGTTTAGAGAGTTCCCATATACCAGTGCTCACCCGCCCCCACCATGGCCTACCTCACTGTCAACATCCCCCACCAGAGTGGTTCGTTTGTTGGAATTGATGAACCTATATTAATACGTCATTATCACCCAAAGTCCATAGTTTACATTAGGATTCACTCTTGGTGGTGTACCGTCTGTGGATTTGGACAAAGGTGTAATGACATGTATCTACCAATATAATATCATACAGAATAGATTTAATACTGTAAAAATCCATGTGTTCCACCTGTTCAGCCCTCCCTCACCCTCTAACTGCTAGCAACCACTGATTTTTTACTGTCTCCATCTGTAGTTTTGCCTTTTACTCTGGCTGCTTGTAGAGCCTAATCCTGTCATTTATATCTAGCCTGTCTTTCCACACCAGATTTATTCAGCGTAGCCCTGTCACCTTGCTGAGGAGCCAAGTGGTCATCCCTATCTTGCAGTGGGCCATTGCTTCCACTACCCTGGACCACCGGGATGCCAATTGCAGTGTCATGAGGTTCCTACGAGACCTTATCCATACAGGGGTAGCCAATGATGTAAGTATAAACATTGTACCTTGCTACTTTGCAGCTCATCACTTTTTACATGTCTTCCTCATTTCTTAGGGGAAAACCAGATTCTCGTTATTTGATCTATATTGGTAGGTACATACCATTCACTAACCAAAACATTAACTATTAGATTTAAGACAGCCTCTACTAAGTGCTGTAAGGTATATATAACAGTCTAAAAGTATTTCTGCTCCCATGTCATTCGAGGTTTAGTAGAAGAGCTAAACAGGTATGAATATTTAAATAACAATAGGAAGGCAGTATTTGATTGCCAGATGAGTGATAAAAGTCATGATTGCTATGAGATCAGAGGAGGGAAAACTCCTTGGTCAGAAGTGGGTTGGGATTAATTTCTGGAAGAAGAGGGACTTCAGTGGGACCATCGGATATAGGTGGAATTTGGATGGATCAGAGAAGGAAGGATAGTCTTAACTGGGGCATAAATCATAGAGAAAGTCAGGATAGTTGGGCTGGAGTAGTAAAATAGTTCACACATTTTCAAAGGTAGATTTGGCTAAATATGGATTAGAATTTAAGGTAATAGAGAACAGTGAAGAAATAAGCAACTATGTGAGTGGGCTAATTACTTAAGAAGTTTGGTCATAAAAGTAGAAAGAAAAAGAAGAAAACTAGATGTGAAAAGCAATTTATAAAAAGTTATTTCTGGGGTGCCTGGGTGGCTCAGTTGTTGAGTGCTTTCGGCTCGGGTCATGATCCCAGGGTCCTGGGATTGAGCCCACGCATCGGGCTCCCTGCTTGGCGGGAGGCTTGCTTCTCCCTCTCCCACTCCCCCTGCTTGTGTTCCCTCTCTCGCTGTCTCTCTCTCTCAGATAAATAAAATCTTTAAAAAAAAAAAAGTTATTTTTTTCAAGATATTAGAAATATATGTATATTTAAGACTAGAGAGAGGAAGAAAATAAGGTTTTTTTTGATAGAAAAGATTAGGTACCTGATAGAAGTCTTTGTTTATTCAGTTAGTTGTTTTTTTTTTTTTAAGATTTTATTTATTTATTTGACAGAGAGAGACAGCGAGAGAGGGAAAACAAGCAGGGGGAGTGGGAGAGGGAGAAGCAAGCCTCCCGCCTGGGATTGAACCCCGCATCGGGGCTGAGCCGAAGGCAGACGCTTAATGACTGAGCCACCCAGGCACCCCAATTCAGTTGGTTTTAAAAAAGGAAATAGGAACACTTTAAATTATTTTTCTCTGAAAAATAATTAAAATTGCTACCTGTAACCTTTAGTCATTGTTTCTCTTCTGCTTTCTATTCATGAAAAATCTAAGGGTTAAGGTTAATCTCAGCTGAAATCCATGCCCATTTCCTTGATACTAACTTCTTGATATTTTCTTCCTAAGGGCAGAACATTTTATTGGAGTCTGTGAATCTAGCTGTTATATTTTATATATACTTCCTTTTCCAGGAAGGAGGAATTATTAAGCGTGGAGAGTTGAAATTAGAACTCATCTTTTGCTCTTGTTTCCTTATAGCACGAAGAAGACTTTGAATTACGGAAAGAACTGATTGGACAGGTGATGAACCAGCTTGGACAGCAACTTGTAAGCCAACTGCTCCACACGTGCTGCTTTTGTCTCCCTCCCTATACCCTACCAGATGTGGCTGAAGTGCTCTGGGAGATCATGCAGGTTGACAGACCGGTAAGACTGTTTTCAGGAAGAACCCATTCTCACAGTCCTTAAACTTTGGTCCCTGGAGGCAGACTATAACTTTGAAACCAGCTCTGTTGTATATTCATGGAACCTAATCTAGGCATATTGCTAAGTTTAATTACTCGATGAAGGGGCCTGTAGAAGGCCAGTAAGTCATTATTAGGTTTTTGAAAGCATGTTGGTGTCACTGTCACAGGGTTTGTATTACCTGAAGTGAATACTAAGCATTGAATTCAGCTGTGTGCTGGCCAGTGAGAAATTTGTTCACTTGTGAGAGATGCCCACATATCAGTTACATAGTAGTACAGGTTATTCAAGAAGTGAATTCACTCCAAGCATAGCACTGTATAAAGGTTTTCCTTGGTAATAAATCTAGCCAGAGCATTTGGGGATACAGAAGCAGAAAATCAGCTCACAATATACACTTGGATTTCTCCTTTGGATTAACTTGCATCTTGTTTCAATTCTTGATCCAGGTCATTTATCACCTGAGCATGGAAGGTTTTTTTAGGCTATCCAGTAATGTCCAAATAATATCAGTACTGGGCCACATGATCACAAATCAGGTTATGTGTACTGCATGAAAGTTTTGAGCATAGTGGTACTAAGTATACATAGCCTATACATTATTTTTTAAATAGGATTTATAATTTTTTTTTTTTAAAGATTTTATTTATTTATTTGAGAGAGAGAGAGAGAAACAGCATGAGAGGGGATAGGGTCAGAGGGAGAAGCAGGCTCCCCGCCAAGCAGGGAGCCCGATGTGGGACTCGATCCCAGGACTCCGGGATCATGACCTGAGCCGAAGGCAGTCGCTTAACCAACTGAGCCACCCAGGCGCCCGGATATATAATTTTTAATATTAATTAAAAGCAGTTTAGAAAAGTGCACAGTTGGTTCTAGTTAAAGTGAGCTATCTTCCAGAACCACAGAAAAATCCAGATGCACAAGTTTATTTTAACTTTTTTTTTTTTTTTAAAGATTTTATTTATTATTTGACAGAGAGAATGAGAGAGAGAGAGCACATGAGAGGGGGGAGGGTCAGAGGGAGAAGCAGACTCCCCACTGAGCAGGGAGCCCGATGCGGGACTCGATCCCCGGACTCCGGGATCATGACCTGAGCCGAAGGCAGTCGCTCAACCGACTGAGCCACCCAGGCGCCCTATTTTAACTTTTAAGTCCATATGCATCTTAATGTTATCTCTTGCTTTATATCATTGATGACAGTTGTTAGCCTCAACTTCAGCAGTTTCACAAAACAGAGTACACTTTTACTGTTAGATTCTGATGTTACTGAGCCAGAAGTTCTGCCTTGGATTTGTGTGTTCATCTCCAAAATTCAGCGATTGGTTTATATTGTCTTAGTGAGCATCTGCTTTACTTGATCTTTTGCTAAAGTGAAAGGTGGTCATGTGTAAGGCAGATGCTTGATAAATTTCTCACATTTTCTTTAGGTTTATCTTCCAAAACAGCCACATGAACTTTTTTTTTTTTAAAGATTTTATTTATTTGAGAGAGAATGAAAGAGAAAGAGCACAAGAGCGGGGAGTGGGAGAGGGAGAAGCAGACTCCCTGCTGAGCAGGGAGCCCAATGCGGGACTCGATTCTGGGACTGGATCCAGGATCATGACCTGAGCCAAAGGCAGTCACTTAACCAACTGAGCTACCCAGGTGCCCCTGAACTTTTTTTTTTTTAAGATTTATTTATTTGAGAGAGAGAGGGGACGAATAGGGGCAGAGGGAGAGGGAGAGAGACTCTCAAGCAGACTCCGAGCTGAGTGCAGAGCCCAACACTGGGCTCATCTCAGGACCTGAGCCTAACCAGGAGTTGGACGCTTAACCAACTGTGCCACCCAGGCACCCCTAATTCTTCTATAGCAAACTCTTGAGGCTCCTATGTGACTTTGGTTTCATCAGGTAGCTCTGCAGTTCTTCATGTAAGCTCAAGTGCTTCAGGAATGAATAGTATCTACAGGTCCTATTGCTAGTTGTTCAGCATGTTCTTTTTCAATCTAATATGGCTATATTTTTGTGTTTTCATAAAGAAAGTACTCAGTGAACCCCATCAGTGCCAACAGGTTTAATCACAAAAGTCCTTGATGTGAGAAATAAAATTTCCATACTGTTAATTTTTACAAACATACTTGTTTCCCAGGTGTCAGAAAACTTATTATGTAAATTTAACTTTATAAAAACATTCTTGGGGCAGCTGGGTGACTTAGTTGGTTAAGCAGCTGCCTTTGGCTTAGGTCGTGATCTCAGGGTTCTGGGATTGAGCCCTGTGTGGGGCTCCCTGCTCAGCGGGGAGTCTGCTTCTCTCTCTCTCTCTCTCTCTCTCTCTCTCTCAAATAAATGGAATAAAAAAAACTTTAAAAAAATAAATAAAAATAAAAACATTCTTAATTTGTAAACATATGCTTAGGTGCTAACAGAGGGAAGAAAATTACAACAGTGAGTTGAGTCAGGAACAAAAACCAGATATCCATGGGCTCATAAGAGTTTATAGATAGATACCCACAGAATGGGTGTCAAGCAATTTAAAGTGATTGTTTTCTATAAACATCAACTTACAACTGAGTTTTTGTAAATGAACTCTTACATAAATACAGGTTGTCTGTACCCTGTAAACTGATTGAGATTATAAGGTTGTAAGCCCAAAGAAAAATTGCATTCTTGAGCACTTTCTTAATTTTGTAACATTTTCAAAATTCAACACACGGGAGGGATTTTTCAATAGAAGATGGCTTATCAGCTTTGTCATGTGACGTGAATATACGTGAATATATTTAAACCCTTACCTTCTTTGTTGGATACCCATCTGTGGCAAATTTATTCAGTGCTTTCAACCAGATTTCTCAGATTCCTTTATTAGAAGATGATGAGACCCATTGTGTGCTAGCTGATTAGTTTTGCTTTTTAGTTTCTCTTCTTATTCTTGGTTGGGGCTATATTGTAGTTAACTCATAGGCTGTTTTTGGATGCCAAAACTTTTTATCAGTTAAGGGTTCTTCCTGAATCTCTTGCCCCTCCTTGTTGGTCTTAGTAGAGTGTTATCTTCCTTGGGGGCAACATTTGGAGAATTACGCAGGACTTCTTAAGCATTTATAATATAATATTTACTTTTGCTCCAGTATGTTATCATAAATTAACATAATGGGGGAATATATAATGTAAAGAATTTAGTTATAAAAGGTTATTTTATTGCTGAAAACTACGACCAAGGTGTACACCCTACTTAAGAAAGGCATGGAAAATTTAGAGCTAACTCAAAGAACAGTTCAACTGAAAATAACCCAGAGGAAGTCTCTAGAATTTGATTTTTAGTTTGAAGAGGAAGGAAGTAAGGTTTTTTTGTGCATGTAAAAGGTATAAAGAGACTATGCTCAGATGTAAATAATATTCTTTTACAATATATTTTTTTAAAGATTTTATTTATTTATTCATAAGAGACAGAGAGAGAGAGGCAGAGGGAAAAGCAGGCTCCCCGCTAAGCAGGGAGCCCGATGCGGGACTCGATCCCAGGACCCTGGGATCATGACCTGAGCCAAAGGCGGACACTTAATCATCTGAGCCACCCAGACACCCCTACAACATTTTTTAAAAAGATTTATTTATTTGTGAGTGAGAGAGTGTGCACAAGTCGGGGGAGGGGCAGAGGGAGAGAGAATCCCAAGCACACTCCCTATTGAGCAGTGGATCCCACAGCCCATCAGATCATGACCTGAACCGAAACCAAGAGTGAGACGCTCAACCCACTGAGCCACCCAGGTGCCCCAATAATATTCTAACTAGCAACCAGAGTGAGCAACAAATTTTCCAACCCAAAGAACAGGCAGGTATCACAAAGGAGCTGACTAGATATGACTATTCTACTGAGAGTTGACTTTAAAATCCTTTAGACCCTGGATTCATATTATGTATATATTCTCTGACATGTTTACTTAACTGTACTTTTTTTTTAAGATTATTTATTTGAGAGAGAGAGAGAGATAGCGAGAGCAGGAACACAAGCAGAGAGGGAGTGGGAGAGGGAGAAGCAGGCTTCCTGCCGAGCAGGGAGCCCGATGCGGGGCTCGATCCCAGGACTCTGGGGTCATGACCTGAGCCGAAGGCAGATGCTTAACAACTGAGCCACTCAGGCGCCTCTTACTTAACTATACTTTTTGTCCTTGCTCTTTGTGGTACTGAACTTTTGCTGTAGGTTGCCTTTGATCTTTACACTCAAGAGTTTTCTGGCAGCTGTTTAATTTTTGAAATATTACAGAAGTTTAATGACAAACAGAACGATAGTCTCATCCAAAAGAGACTTCCCTTCTAAGGTAGAGAAGGGCTTTCTGAAATGATGCCTGCTACACCTTTGAAGGGAAGTCTAGGTTTGCCTTTGTAGACTATTCCAAACCCCAGAGGGTTGGAAGGCCTGAAAATAGTAGTGATTTTGTTAATTCCTTTCCTTACTTCCAAGTCGGGAAGAGCTGATGCTGCTAAGAAAAACCTGCAGGTTTTGTTATTACTTGTAGGGTCCAGTTGAGTAAGTCCTGCCTCCTCTTAAAACTCTTACTGTCTCTCTGCACAGACTTTTTGTCGATGGTTAGAGAACTCCTTGAAAGGTTTGCCAAAGGAGACAACTGTGGGAGCGGTCACAGTGACACACAAACAACTTACAGATTTCCACAAACAAGTCACTAGGTGAGTGATGTGAGGTTTTTTTGGTTTTGTTGTTGTTTTTTTTAATGTGAACAGAAATGGGTATGCAGAAAAAATGTATCTTTGTTTCTTATACCAAATTTACCCAAGAGTATGTTTCTGTTTGCCTTGGTAAATTCACAGTTTAGTGTCTGTTCAGCATTAACTTGCACAAATTGACATTAGAAACCAATCTGAGGAAATAGTCAAAGGAAAATAGTCAAAAGAAGAAAAAGGCTAGGGTTTTAATATCATCATGCCGTATAGGTGTGCATCAATTTTACTGTACAAATTTATTAACTGGTATAAGATCTTAATGGCTAAGTGGAGGCGTTATCTCTTCCAAAAGAAAAATGCATTCATTAGCCCACTACCCTTCACAAGATCTGTCTTTATCTTTCTGAAGTCCTCTGTTCTCATCTGTATTCTGGGGTCAGGAATGCAGATGTGAATAGGCGAAGCATTAGTTGTAAAACATAGATGATGTAAATTGCAGTGAATTGGAAAATTTTCACTATGCCTAAAGATACTGAAATTCTAATTTCATGCAGGCCAAACAAAATATCTCTCTGAGATGTATTAGCCCATGAGCTGCTTGTTTACAGCTTAGTAAAAATGTTAAGTATACATGAGTATTTTTTACTGTGAACCCATAGTAAACACTTTAAGTGTAACTACATATTCTTCCTAATTACTGCTTTATAGCCAGAAAGCTATTACTTAATTTCCGTACAGTGCCTCTGTTAGTAGACACTTAGATTATTTTTTAGTATTACGGGTAATATTAAAACCCTAGCCTTTTCCTTCTTTTGACTGTTTTCCTTAAAATGCAATCACTGAATCAAAAGGTTATGAGATTTTGATGGCTTTTGGTAGTATTAATGGTAGCAATTTTGTAACTGTGTGCTACCTTACCCTGATAACGCCTTTTTATATATCTAGAATCTCTAGAATTTTGCCTAAATTTTAGGCATTGGCTTATATGCATACAGTGGTGGAATGATTTACAGGTCCAAGAATGAGTGTTGCAGTAAGGTTTGGTAATAGTGAAAAACACTGGAAATATTCTAATTGCTCATTAATAGAGAATGGTTAAATAACAGAATGTAACTAAATAAAGAGGCACTAAAAAAGAAGGAGCAAGAATATGCATGTCATGCTACAGAAATATATGTAAGTATATTATAAAGGGAAAAAATAACAGTATCATATAACCCAACTTGTACTGACAATTTTTTTAACTTCTAATTGTGAAAAAATACACATGGAATTTATTTTAACCATTCTCAAGTATACTGTTCAATAGTGTTAAGCACATTCACATTGTTTGCAGTCAGTTTCCAGAATTTTTTTCATCTTATAAAACCAAGACTATACCCATAAAACAGCAACTCCCCCTTCTCCCATTCTCCATCCCCCAGCAACCATCACTCTTTCTGTTTATGATTTGACTATTCTAGGTACCTATATAAGTGAAATCATATGGTATTTGTCCTTTTGTGACTCAGTGTAATGTTCTCAAGGTTCATCCATGTTGTAGCTTGTGTGTCAGAATTTCCTGCCTTTTTAAGGCTGAATAACATTCCATTTTATGTATCTACCACATTTTATTTATTCATTCATCTATTGGTGGACATTTGGATTGCTTCTACCTGTTGGCTATTATAAGTAATGCTGCTCTAAACATGGCTGTACAAATATCTCTTCAAGACCCTTGCTTACAGGGTGCCTGGGTGGCTCAGTCAGTTAAGTGTCCCAACTCTTGATATCTACTCCGGTCATGATCTCAAGGTTGTGAGATCGAGCCCCGCATTTGGCTCTGTGCTGGGCATGGAGCCTGCTTAAGATTCTCTCTTTCTCTGCCCCTCCCCACCTTAAAAAAAAAAAAGAAAAGAAAGACCCTGCTTTCAATTCATTTGGATTGAAAAGAATTCCCAGCACTGTCCTTTTCCCCACTGAATGGTCTTGGCACCCTTATTGAAAATCATTTTACCATATATGCGAGGGATTTATCGTGGGGGCCTTCTGTTCTATTCCCTTGGTCTCTGTGTCTGTCTTTATGTCAGTACCATACTGTTTTGATTACCATGGCTTTGTAATAATTTGAAATTGGGAAGTGTGAGACCCCCAGCTTTGTTCTTTTTCCAAGGTTATTTGGAATATTCAGGGTCTTTTGAGACTCCATGTGAATTTTAGGATAGATTTTTCTATTTTCACAAAAAATGTCAGTAGGATTTTTGATAGGGATTGCATTGAATCTATAGATCTCTTTAAGTAGTATTGACATCCTAACAAAATTGAGTCTTCCAGTCCATGAACAGGAGAGGTCTTTGTATTTATTGGTGTCTTTATTTCTTTCAGCAACATTTTGTAGTTTTTTACGTTCTTTTTGATGCTGTTGTAAATGAACCAACTTGCACTTTTTAAAAGTTGTTTTATTATATATGTTATATATATGCATAGCAAATTTCTGGAGAGATAGACAACTAGGACCAGGATGGCAGGGGAGGAAAGACTTTCACTTTTTATTTCATAACTTTCTGTACTGTTTTCATTTTTTTTATGAGCATGTGGTATACATTTATAATTAAAACCAGACCTAGTTTTTAAAAGGGGGAGAGGGGTGCCTGAGTGGCTCAGTTGGTGAAGCTTCTGACTTCAGCTCAGGTCCTGATCTCCAAGTCTCCTCAGGCTTTGTGCTCAGCGGGGAGCCTGCTTGTCCCTCTTCCTCTGCCCCTCCCCCTGCTTGTGTGCATGCCTGCTCTCTCTCTCTCTTCTTTCCTGCGCTCACTCGCTCTCTCAAATAAAAATCTTTAAAAAAATAAAAAGGGAAGAAAATAAATTGTAGGTGGTGGTATAAGAGCTAATCTTCTTTTCTGAGATTTCTTATCTTACTTTCCAAAATAGTTTACTTTCTCACCTCCCAGAGTTTCTCCAAATTTTGCTAATTTGTTAAAATTCCAAGCCTGTGAGTGCTGTTATTTTGTAGCTTACTAAAAGTGGCTTAACTTCATGTCCCAGAAGTATTACTGATTTTGGCCATAGATCAAGTGACATGTGACTGCCTTCATGACCTATTTTGTCGGAAGGGAATTTCCCCTCCTCTAGATAGGTGTATATTGACTGGGATGGCTTTACAAAATTATTTTATTTCTTTTTACTGTGAATCTTCCCAGTAGAAGTAGTATTCCACCTCTAAGCAGTCTCAGGGAAAAGTAGCTTCTTTCTGCTTCTGTTTTGCTGTATTCCATCTAGTACTGGTCAGTAGAAGGGCAGGATCATTTGGGCTCTAATTTCCTTAAAGCAAATGAGAGCCTGGAGAGAACCCTCAAAGAACTAGGCTTAGAGTCAAGGATGTTGGCATGCATCTTGCCACTTACTGAACCTCGGTCTATTCACTGAAAAATAGGCTTAGTACTACTTATCTTATTCATAAGGGGTTCTTAATGAGATATCAAGTAGAAATTTAAAGATTTGATATGTAGTAGGTGATCGGGGAATGTTAACTTTCTCCTTGGAAAAGAACCTGCTGGAATGTCGTTATGTACTTGCAAAGCTAGCTGGAGCATGTCTCCTGCCAGCTGTAAGGCAACCACCCACACATTCTAGAATAAGTCTCCACCAAACCTGTATTCCCTTATCTGGGCTAATCTGTGATAGGAAGAACCATAGAATAAGTCTGAAAAGTCATGGACATTCCCTCATTTAAGGAAAAGTGAGTGGCACAGAAAAGGAACCCAAATAATGCAATGCTATAAACAAAACTATCTGTGATCTTTGCCCTGTGATACGGGGAAATAAGGTGCACTACCAGCCTGGCCTACTTGGTCTCTCATTGTGGAATACATTTTGTAGTTCGTCCTATAGTAGGCTGTGACGTGGTGGTGGGAAATGAACGGAAGAGGCAACGTCGAGGTACTAGAGAAAAGGTTTGAGACTGCTCACCTCCTTGTAGTAATTCTTTCTCTAGTATGCGTTCTGCTCTTGAACCTTCTGTTCCATGCATGACTCAGTCTCCCTTTTGGTTGTAAGGTCCTATAATTCCTGCCTCAACATGCTGCTTTGTTTGCCATCCTAACAGGGAGGGTAAACTGGTTCAGTTTCATTTCAGCAAGTCCAAGCCTGTTTTTCAAAGGGTACTGGTAATTAATTCCCTAACATTTTTAGTTGGTCAACTTAAAGAAAGCTGAGGTTTTTCATTTGAAATATCATTCTTGCTCTCCAAACACCACTAATTATGACTAGAAGAAATCCTGCCATCATCTCCCATGTCTCTATGTTGATGTTTATTCCCTGACTCTGAACACTTACATGAGAATCTCAAGGTCAGAAGATGTGGAATAAAGGAAGCATTGACTCTAGAGTTAGAAGCCAGTATAGGGGTGTCTTGCTCAAGTCGTTAGTTAGAGCTCGGTTACTCTCCATTATCCACGAACATCCGGTGAGAAGGGCTGTATTTCTCAGCACACCGCTAGGATTACAGGTCTTGAGAAACGGTTACCATAAAAGTATTCAGAAGTATGGTGAAAGGATCAGGGTTGTGGGAATAGAAGCCAGAAAATAGAATCTAGAAAAAATAGTGGCCATTTTAAGACTTTTTTTTAAGGTTTTATTTATTTGAGAGGGAGAGATAGCGAGAGATAGAGCATGAGCAGGGGAGAGAGGGAGAAGCAGACTCCCTGCTTAGCAGGGAGCCCGACGCGGGGCTCGATCCCAGGACCCTGGGATCATGACCTGAGCTGAAGGCAGAGACGCCCAACCAACTGAGCCACCCAGGTGCCCCAGTAGTGGCCATTTTAAATAAATGAATGAAATGGGAAATAAATGCCAGAAGGACTGAGGTGGAAAACAGAAAATAGTTGTAGCTTTTAAGTTTGGTTTTTTTTTTTTTTTTTAATCCATTTCTTTGGGCCTAATCAAGGACACATTAAACATTTGACTGAGGCTCTGGACACCAGAGCAGTTGCCAACAGGACTGGGAGCAGAGCTGAGCTGACTCGAGATGCCAGCCTACCCCTCTTTCACCCTGGCTAACACAGTTCTCTGTAGTTGCATTCTGGTTTTGGCACTTTTTCTCCTGTGTCACAAGAGAGGTGAAGGATGGAGTTACCATTTCTCTTCCGGATTAAACCAAGGGTAGAAGAAGGGTAGAGTTTAAAACATGTAAGGCATTAGAGTAGCAAAAGAATCTTAAGCCTGCATTGTTGCCCCACATTTAACTGTTTCTTACTGTTGTAGTTCCTTATGATAACATGCCACATGGTGGCTTCTCTTGGGTTACATATCTTCTTCCTTTGTGACAGTGGGAGCATGAGTGATCTGTGCTCGCCAGCCCAACTGCCTCTTCAATAGTCAGTATTGATTTGGAAATAGACTGAGGGAAGGAATGGTTGTATTGAAGCATGTTAAATTCACAAATGGCAGAATTTCAGTAAAACCAGAAGACTTTATCATTTTCATTAATTTTGGATGGAGAGAGACTGGAGAAAGTTTCTAGAATATCCTGTTGAGTCAGATCTTGGGGTCTGAATCAAGGTTCTTTTTTTTTTTTTTAAAGATTTTATTTATTTATTTGAGACAGAGAGAATGAGATACAGAGAGCATGAGAGGGAAGAGGGTCAGAGGGAGAAGCAGACTCCCTGCCGAGCAGGGAGCCCAATGCGGGACTCGATCCCGGGACTCCAGGATCATGACCTGAGCCGAAGGCAGTCGCTTAACCAACTGAGCCACCTAGGCGCCCCTCAATCAAGGTTCTTAATGATGTTTCAGACCTTATAATAGGTGGGGAAATCCAGATGTAGGCACTAAGGAGATAGCTCTCCTTTCACCTTTTCTGTGGAACCACTGTTAGCAGTTCTCTCCCCTGGTGTTTAACCATTACGAGGAGAAAGCTCTTCTAACATTGAATCTTAGGCAGTAGGCTGTGGTCCCTGAGTTTTTCTGAGCCAGAGAGTGGGCCACGGAAGAATGAGCATATTCGAGAGTTCTTCCTTTTCCAGGTACTATTTGTAGCTCAGCTTCATGTTCAGTTACCAGAACCTGTTCTGAAGACTGACACAGAGGAATGAAGGTGGGCATCAACTGGTTTCTCGGTGACAGTTTTGGACAAATCAGGCCTTTTGAGAAAAAAAAGGGTCAGGTGAATATTGGGCTATTCAAAGCCCATCTCAGTGCTTGCCTGAGGACCAAGTCCTGCTTCCTCCCCCCTTTCTACATGCCTTAACCCTTTCCTCTATCCTCTCCGTTCTCCTCCCACAGGAGGAAACCCTGAGCAGCCTGTCCAACTAGAAAATTGATGACTGATAGAGACTTAGTTGCCGGAATGGGCTTTGTAAACAAAATCTGCTTTTAGAAGAGAATGAGAAAACCAGGGTACCTAAGTTAGCTCAGCTCATAGAGTTAAAGTTGTCAGCCTTAGGTGAATATGCTTGCTTTTTTTATTTGGGGGTTCTGGCTTTCTTGTATTTATGTCAGGGACTTCAACCAAGTGTTGAACTGACTTAATCCTCCAAACATTATAAGGTAGGTACAGATGCGGCAACGAAACAGGTTGGTAACTTGCCCAAGAGTGATGGAGCCAAGATTCAAACATACGCAGTTTTTTCCACAGCCACTCTTTAGGGACCATACAGCTTATAATTATTCTCACATGCAGTAGTTAATATTTGCCTTGAGTTACAGAAAGATCCGAAGCAGAATCAAGAGACAATGGAGAGAGCTTCAAGCAGAGCTAGGATAGTTCTCAGTGGACCTCAGTGTTGTGGCTGTTTGCAGCATATTAACATCTTTCTCATCAGGGGCCAACCTACCTTTTCTTTTCTAGTGCTGAGGAATGTAAACAAGTTTGTTGGGCCTTGCGAGACTTCACCAGGTTGTTCCGATAGCTCACACTCCTGAACTGTGCCTGTCACCCAGGTGAGTGGTTATAGTTCCTGGCTTTTCCCCTCACTGTCAGGAGCGCTCGGGATGGCATAGGTTTTTGTTTTGTTTTGTTTTAAAGATTTTATTTATTTATTTGAGACAGAGAGAATGAGATCGAGCATAAGAGGGGGGAGGGTCAGAGGGAGAAGCAGACTCCCCGCCGAGCAGGGAGCCCGATGCGGGACTCGATCCCGGGACTCCAGGATCATGACCTGAGCCGAAGGCAGTCGCTTAACCAACTGAGCCACCCAGGCGCCCAGGATGGCATAGGTTTAATGCCCATCATGGGACTTGTACTATAGCTAGTTAGGGAAGGACTTAACAGTCCTTAACACTGCTGAACAGTTAAGAAAGGACCCTGGTTTGCTTGGGCCCAGGCAGCCAGGTAATTGCCAGCTGCTTTTGGATACCATCTTCACCCCCATAGGAAAGTTATTATTGTAGGAGATCTCAAAAAAAAATTCCTCCTCTCATCCCCTTACAGACACTTTAGGATGGTAAGAGTGTATGTTAACAAATAAATATTTTTAACCTGGCTACTTTGGTGAAAACAGTACTGACCTAAAGCTGACTGTGATTACATTGACACCATTCTCCTAAAACTGACCTTTTGGATTTAATGAGCAAAGATGCTTATTCTTAACACTTTTACGGTCTGAACACTGAAATGCCAGGTTCTGCCAAGGCAAGAGGTAGAGGAAAGGAGATAGCATCTTTGTCTAGCTCCTGATCACCAGTTTTTCTCCATGTGCTTCCTGACTCCTGGTTCTGCAGCAAAACAAGAATCTTAGCTGAGGACAGAAAGAACTGGGTAGTGGGATTTGGGTGTCAATTTCTTGACTGAGAGAAGAAAGGCAGTTCTCCTCTTAAGCACCCGCACCCCCCTTTGAGGTCTTAGGCAGTATTTATTGTCCCACGAGACAGTTCTCAGTGAATGTGCAGCACCTCTCTGGTGGTTTCTGTCATTTGGTGTAGTAGTAGATGAAGGCACTCTGCAGCAGTGCCCCTCACCCACACCAGAAATTATTTCTAAATGTTATTCTTTAGTGAGTAGTGATATCATTTGGGATTCTCAAGTTCTGCGGTGTCCATAATAGCCAACATTGGTACACATAGGCTTACTTGGGGACAGCTGTGGATGCTCGTGGCTGACATTTATGGAGCCCTTACTGTGGGTCAGGTACTGTTCTCAGTGCTTTGTGTGTATTCACTCAGATAATCCCAAGGTGGTTCTCTAGGTTAGTCACCGTTATTTCCATTGTACAGGGGAATAGAGGTTCCAAGATGTTAAACGATTTGCTTGATGTCACAGTCAGGAATTGATAGATACGCTGGTGCCAGAGCCTTTACTTCTAACCACTCTGCTTCCTACATTCACACAGTACCCTTTTCATACAGACTAAATCAGTGGTTTTTAAACTTCTGTTAGTAGGCAAAGTCTTCCTTCAGAATAAACTCTTGCATGAAACCCCAGTATTTAAATGGACTAAAGCAGAGATTTTCTGGTTGGTTTGAGGTGGGCAGCCTGGACCTGCTGGCTCACTCTTTACCCCCCGACAAAGCATCCCTAGTTTCCACAGCACACTCAGAAAAGGACTGCAGGCAGTATCCATTACAGCAGTCGCTCTCTTGAAATCACAAGTAAAGACTCCAACTTCTTTTTTTTTTTTTTGCTGAGTTCTTATGGCAGAGGCCAGAATGAGGTACCTGAGCAAATACGAAAACTTCTACCTTGACTTTAGAAGAAGCTTATTATCTCCTGAACCATTATTGACGGTCTTCTCTCTTTTGTCAGGAATGTCTTTTTTAATTAGAAGACAGGAAGAAAACAAAAACCAGACTGTGTCCCACAATCAGAAACCTCCATTGTGGCAGAGGGGCCTTCACCGCCACCACGGTGTCCCGCCAGACAGGGAGAGACTCCAGCCTTCAGAGGCCGTCCTGAGGAGTTCCTGTTTGGGGGTGTGAGGGAAAATCAGCGCGGTTTAAAAAAAAGATGGCTGCGGCCTGTCCGGCGTGGTGGGAGGGGAGCTGGTTTCCTGGTGAACTTGTTTCAAAGGAAGAATAATTTTAAAGAAATAAAAAAGGAAAAAAAGGAAAACTAAACTGAAACCAGAACTGAAACGTTCACTTGGTAGCAGTGACACGCACGCACACATGTACCTATACACACATGCTAACACGCGTGTGCACACAGAATAAAAGTACAAACTTTTGTGAAACAAACCATTTACTTAGGGAAAATGGGAATTCAGATGACATAGCTGCAATTGGAAGAAAAGGGTCAGGATCATCTCTTAAGGTTTTCTATTATTTTTTCCTCTTTCTCTCTCCCACCCTCCCTTCTTTCCCTTTCCCTTCCTCTTTTAAAGAAAATGAGTAGAAATTTCTCCCACTCTCCCCAGCATTTCTTCCCACCTCTAGAGTTGTTCCGACAAGGAGGAGCCTGTTGGTTTTATATCATGGTCACATCAGTGATACCAGGACCTGCCAGGGCCAAAATTCATGTATATTCCCAGCCCTGACCCCATCCAGTCTCTAAATCCATTTCCAATCCATATTGGGTTGTCATCGGCCTTGGAGAGAAGAGCCAAAATTAGGGTGAGTGGGATATAAATGTATATTCTAAGTTTTAGGGTTTTTTTTTTTTAAAGATTTTTGTGTTTTTTAGTTAATTTTTCACCCACAGACATGAGAGAGGACAAAAAAAAAAGGGTGGGAGTATGGGGGAAAGTGTTTACAGGGCTAACTGTATTTTACTAAAAAAAATGTGGAAATTACTTGACTTTCGTTGGGGGGTGAGGCGGGAGAGGGAAGCCCAAAACAGATCTTAATGTTTTAAAGGAGTTGCGGCCCCGCACAGGTGTTAGATACGAGGGCACTGTTCTGTCTGGTGTTGTAGCCATCTCAAGAACAAATCAACAGCAACAAAAAAAACAAACAAAAAAAAAAAGAAAAAAAAAGAAAGAAAAGAAAACAATAAATTTTTAAAATGTAATCAGTGTTTGTTTTTCCTTCCTTCCACTGCCTCAGAGCTCTGAAATGATACAGCTAGACCGCGTGAGGGAGCGGACTTAGCCCTTACCTGGGAGACAGCTGGAGATGGAGTTTAAATGGTGGGCCCTGCCCTTCATGCCACGGACCCTTCATATTTTGGGGGAGTGGCTCCTTCTGCATCTTTTATTTTAGTTCACCCTAAAACTCCTCATGCTGCACTTTATCCTTTCACACAGCCTCGGTGGGAGAGAGAATGGGTCCGTCAGCATGTTAAACAGAAATGTGGTACGGATATTCTTTCCACAACAGCCACCCAAGTGGACTGATTCCTAGCCCACTGAGTACAGTGTTTGGTCTTTGAAAACAACATGCCGTACCACTGACAGAATAAGCTGCACATACTTCAGTTGTACAGTTGACCAGCTCTGACGTAGGTACACCCATGAAGCCATTAACACGGTCGAGGTGGTTAACACGGTCGAGGTGGTGAACGTACCTTGACTCCCAAAGCTACCTCCTGCCTCTTACCGTCCTCCGGTAGCCACTGATCTGCTTTCTGTCACTGTACATTAGTTTGCATTTTCTTTAGTTTTATATAAATAGGATCACATAGTATGTTAAAGTATTGGTTTTTGAGCTAAGAAGCTTGACTGCGGAGCTCTATATAGTATTTGGAATCCATGAAACAAACCTTCCTGCATAACATCAGTTGTACTCAGAGTTTGACTTGGACAGGATTTTAGACTGCATACATTTAAAGATCCACGCCCTTCCCTCAGCTAGCTTCCTCCTAGAAAGCAAAGCCAGCCAGTTGAGAGCTCATGGAGCCCCACTGACTCATCAGCCTGGAAAGGCAGGCCCTCCTCCTGTTGTGGCCTCAGAGATGAAGGGCAGATGCTAGGGGGAAGAGGGTCAGCTGATACCAGAAATAGGGTCTGATAGAACAGCATGGAAGCAACTGGTACTGGAAAAAGTAAATAGCTGAATCTGTTTTTAATATTTATTAATTGAAAAAGACATAAAATTCCACTTCTACCCCATATTCTTAGACTCTCAAGAAGGAGGTAGCTGCCGGCCTTAAGGATCTGGTATGATACCTAAGTGCCCATCTCAGGAGGGAGAGAGATGTAAGGAAGTGAGGCTCAAACTAGGGAACCCCAAAATCGGATCAGGCCCATGCCCTGCTGAGGGAGCATGGCCCACAGCACTTGGCTCTTTTTGCCTGAGGAATTGGGGGCAACCACAAGAGTGGGCCACACTGGGACAATTCCCTCTCAACTAGGCCCCCAGGCTTGGTGGAGTTAACTTCTCTGCTCACTGGGGCTAATGGCTGAGTTCCTCCAGAGTGAGCAGAGGAGAGGCATACACAGCAAGACCGTCCTCAAAGCAAAACGCTTCCAGCTTCCCTCGGGTGCTACAGGAGAAAGCCTGGAACTTGGACCTCTCTTCCCCTCTCCTTGGTGCAGAGCCACTTCCAGGAGACCCAGCTAGAGGGCCCTGGAGCCAGTCAGGTGCCCACTGGGGCCATCATACCTTCACGTGAGCCCACACAGCCACCCGGGAAGCCTGTGTCAGTTGCTGTCTGCAGTCTCACTGTTGCATGCCAGCCGGGTGCATGGGCCAGGCCCCCTGGCCAGTACTGAGGCCTGCCACAGGAGGGGCCTGGGCCACAGGCTGCAACTGCTGCTGGGACTGCCAGATGTGATGGAGCTCCTTGAACTGCTCCACCATGCGGTCTTTAAGGTCTGGGTTTGAGATCTGTAGCCGGATACTATCAGCTGACCAAGAAAGCTCCCCTGAGAACATCTCCAGCAACAGCCGAGCTGCTACAGGCACCACCTGGGGGAGCAAAGAGGGACAGGGAGAACCGTGGCGGGACTGTCCAATCCAGTTGTGCCTGAGGCATCCACCAGGAAGAAGGGGCACTAATTTCTACTTCATACAAAGGCTACTTATGTGTGGGCAAGCCTGGCCTTGATTGTCTCTGGTTGCCAAGTCCACCCTGCTCAGAGAGCCCTCAGCCTCCACCCTGGGGCAAGAGCTGAGCCCCAGGGTTCCCCCAATACTCAAGCCAAAGCAGAGCAGGGGTTTGAGAGGTGAGTTGGTGGTATACCTGTACGGTGATGAGCTTCTTCTCTCGGGGCTTGCGGTCAGGCCACTCCTCCCCAAAGCAGAAGAAGATCTCAAATGGCGGTGGGGTGTTAGTCTGGCCCTTCTGGAACAGGATGAGCTCTGCAGCAAGATCAAGACCCTTAGAGGCTAGAACCACGCCCCTGGATGAGAGAGAGCCAGGAGGAACCTGAGGCGGGTCCCTCACCATTGAGAAAATGCTCCAGGCTGAAGAGCTTGGTTTTGACCTCCCGCTGGATGGGGTTGGGGTGTGAGCCGTGAGCTGAGGCGCAGGGCCCGCTCCAGAACACCTTGCACTGGCACAGGCGGATGGCATACAGATCTTGGCCTTGCAGCTGGAGTATGAGCCCGCGGTCGAGGACATCCAGCAGCTGGTTTGTGTAGAAGCGCTGCTTGTCGCTGGGGATGTCCTCAGGGCTGGGGAAGCGCACTTGCTCCAGGCTCACAGGGCCGAAGAGCTCTACCTGCTCCTGGGTGGCCTCAAGCTGACTGTAGAAGAGCCGGCAGCCCTGTGGGTTGCTGATGGTGAGGGCCTGGGGTGGCCGCCCCCGGTACTGGAACTTGATCTCCAGGTCAGTCACTAGGGGGCAGAGGGCAGGCCCGGCCAGTCTGTGAGCCCCACGCCGCCTTGTTCTGCAGCCCACTGACTTGCTCTGTCCCGTCTGCCCAGCAGCCAGGCCATCTCATTGGCTCTCCCACTTCCTTCCCCCCTCCAACCCCCGCCCCGCCTCAGGGAGGGCCTGGCTTGAGCATCTTTGCTCTTCATCCTCCACCCTTCTTGCAAACCAACCCCCCAGCCCTACTTTACCCGGCCCAGCCCTCCTGTGGGTCCTTACGAGGCAGCATGTGGGGGCTGATCAGCAGGTCGGGCAGGAGTTGTTCGCCCGTTGGGGGCAGGCTGGCAGCCAGGGGCCCAGGCTGCAGTCTTGGCAGGACCTCCGGGAGAAGCTCCCCAAAGCCAGCAGGGTTGCCGGGGGCGGGGCCCAGGAGGTTGGGGTCTGGTGCAGGAGGGCCCAGCACCACAGGCGGCTGGAGAGTGGGCGGCCACTTGACATCCTCTTTGGGTAAAGAATAGGGTGCCATGGGGGGACCAGGTTGCACTGCTTCTACAGAGGGTGGGGGCAGGCAGAGCTTTAATGCTACTTCTGGGAACTTCCCCCCCTAGGCCCACCTACTCTCAGCCCTGGGCCTCCCCCCAGCCTCCCTTCAGCCCCCTCCCAGGTACCTAGGGGACCTGCAGCTTCTCCTTATACTAGGCCCCCAGCCACGCCCCCTCCCAGCCCCACCTGTGATGCTCAGGCTTGGTAACATCCTCTGGAGCTGAAGGGAAGACCCAGGCAAAGGAGGAGGGAATAGGCCAGAGAGAGAGAAGGGAGGACAGGTTAATGAACTGATCTGATGCTAAAGAAAGAACCCATGACAGGCAATTCCCCGGTGTTCAGCTCGGCAAGGCCAGACCCTGCCTTCGCTCCCAGCTCTGCCCTCCAGGCAGCTCCGTGAACTCTGAGCGCCTTGGTGTCCTCATCTGCCTTCTACAGGAAGTAGTACCTACCCAGCCCCAGCTCCTGTGAGGGTGTGTCACACAATGTGTGGGCATGTTTTGTACCAACAAAGCCCTAAGGAGGTTCAGGGTGGTGACTGCGTTCCTAGCCTCAGAACCTCGAGAAGAAACTCAAGAGAAGAGCTATAAAAAGGGCAGCAGGGCCCTGGAGGAAAGGGACCGCTTAATCCTAAAGCAGAGCAGCCCCGCAGAAAGGCCCTAACAAGACCCACCACGTCAGTGCAGGCAGGTGCTGCCAAGAATGGTCCCGAGCTCACGTTTTCCTCTTCCTCCTCCTCCTCCTCTCCTGCACCAAAAGTGTAGTCCTCACCGGGCTGCGACTCTGCAGAGCAGGGAGAGAGAACCCCGCCCAGAGCTGCCCCAGCAGTGAAGTGAAAGGCCACACAGCTGCCAGGAATCACTAGGGACCTCCCCGACCCCATGGCACTAAGCTCCTTAGGTCACTAGACCTACACTCCCTGGAGCCAAGAGCCAAGAACAGGGACAAACTGAGGAAGACAGACACGGAGCCTGGTCTGTGCCAAGTCATTCCGGGCCCCACACAGGGTCCATCGCAGGCCACTCCTGGGAACCTGGGGTGTTATGACTTTGAAGCATGTCCCTGACCACTGCACGCTGGAGGGGCCCTGGGCCTTCCTGAACAGGCTCCTAGGTAGCCGCCAGCTGGTCAGGCACGGTACCTGCGGGAGCGGCGCCATTAGAGCAGACCTCGTAGATCTTGTAGGGCTGAGGGGGCATGTCCCGGGGTCCGTCATAGATGAGGCGGAAGTCACGGCTCTTGTTCAGGGCACAGCGCAGGTTGGCCTTCCACTTAGCCGGGTCCGCCTCGTCCACCCCCTCCGTGTACTTTCCTGTCTCCTTGGCCCAGGCCTGAGGCAGGAAGAAAAGATAGGACACCACAGAGAATCTCCACCCTCAGCAAAGCCCCAGCCCCTCCTGGCCCATGGGAGTCACTGCTGAGTGGTGAGAACTTCAGGGACACGCGGAGCCTCACCTGAGTGTCCCTCTGCACGGTGGGAGATAGGACTCCAGTCCTTCCCAGCCCTCAGGGCTCCAACAAACGAAAGGAAACCTAAGTGCTTTGAAAGGCATTTCATTCACTGCTCCTGCGAGGGTCAATCAATATAGGTACAATCTCTGAGGAGGACCGTGTCACACGGTGAATAAGAGCATGGGATCTGGAGTGGGATTGGGTTTGAATCTGGAAATGGCCACCCACCAGCTGGGTGCCAGGGGCATGTCACTCTGCCTCTTTTTGCTGTAATATCCCCATCGTAGTGCCCTCCTCACAGGGTGGTAGTGAAGACTCCAGGGCCCACAGAGCTTCCAGAACTGTGCCTGCACTTCGGATGGGCTCCATACACTTTAGCTGTTGGTATTATTTTTGAGGGTAAGTTGGCTGATAGCAGGATCACAAATATTTCTTCCCTTTAACCTAGCAATTCGACTTCTAGGAATTTATCCTAGGGAGACAGAAGCATCCACACACAATTCTGCACCTACAAGGTTATTCACTGCAGCACTATCTGTAAAAGCAGAAGATCCCAAATAAATGTCCATCAACGGGAACTGGTTAAATTAACGACCAATCCTTAGAATGGAATACTGGACAGCAAGAAAAAAAAAAAAAAGAAGTTTTTGATATCCTGACGTGTTACAATCTTCAAGAAATATGAGGTACAGAAGGGTATGTCTACATCTATCATTTTGTGAAAAGCGGGCGGCGGGGGGAGATAGGTACCTATTTGTGCCTATGCACAAAAATCAGGAAGGATAAACAAGAAACTGACGATAGTAATTGCTCTGGAGAGGGGATGGGTGGCTGGAGACAGAGTGCAGAGGGAGATTTTTGCTGCAAACCATTTTACACTTTTTAAATTTTGAATTTCATTACCTATTCAAAAATAAGAAACAGATTTGAAAAGAACCTTCAAAGGGTAAATATCAACCCACAAAGACTACGGAAAGCATATCCAAATCTTTATTAAAAAAAAATAAGGATTCTGTTTGACCCAGCAATGTTGAACTCCAAGAACTAACCCCAAAGAAAATCACTTGAGATATACAAAGGGTAAGAGTTTAGAGGGGGTACATGGTAACGGGTCTTCAATACTGGAACACTAGAAGCAACGTGAAGTGTCCAAAAGCCGGTTTTGGATAACTAAATTACGAACCCCTCCAGTGGTCACTGAAAGGGACGTGACATTTTTGGCAGAGGAAAGCTGGTTCTGATGTTGGGTGGAAAATGCAGGATGCAAAACAATATACGGTTGATTTCATACAGAAAGCTGAATATATAGTTACCTCCTCGTGTTCCCATCACAGGGGCATTCTGTGGTCTCCTTTTGGAGTATGTGCACACCAAACACGCACACTGCACACGCACACTGCACACGCACTCACAGGTGATGAGAATGTGACAAGAAAAGGGAGGAGGAGGGTCTCCAGGGGGGTCTTTCAGTCTCCCCCTTGCTCTGGGCAAGAGGTTAAAAAAGGCACAGTGAGGGGCACCTGGGTGGCTCAGTCGTTAAGCGTCTGCCTTCAGCTCAGGTCATGATCCCCGGGTCCTGGGATCGAGCCCCGCATCAGGCTCCCTGCTCTGCGGGAAGCCTGCTTCTCCCTCTCCCACTCCCCCTGCTTGTGTTCCCTCTCTCACTGTGTCTCTCTCTGTCATATATATATAAAATCTTTAAAAAAAAAAAAAAAGGCACAGTGAGGGGTATGCCCCGCATCCCCTTGGTCCAAGCCTGGGGTCACCTGCAGCCAGGTGGCTGGGAGAGTGGTCAGTTTGAGATGTACGGGGATCCTCTTCTAGGGCAGGGGTGCCCCAGAAGTCCAGGCAGTTACCCCTGTCCGGAGCTTACCTTGAAGATGGTATTGTCTCCGTCCTGGCTGGGGCCGTGCCGCGTGGCATGGCGCCAGGGGATGCAGAAGAATTTCCTTTCCCCATTGACCCACTGCAGCCCTGGGTACTGGCAGCTGTTCACCTGGGCCACCAGCCAGGGCTTTAATCGCACACGGCGGGGCGGAGGGGGTGCCCTGGGGGCAGGCTGGTTCATGGCCAAGGGGTCTGTGGGAGAAAGAGGGGGTCATCAGAAGATTTGCAGATAGACACTCCCTGCAGCAGGAAGATGGGGGTGGGAGGGACGCAGGGGCCCAAGCCAGGGATATTATGGCTTTCTTTCCTCCCAGTACTGGGGGCTGGAGTGTCTCTGGTCTGCCCAGATGCTCACAGCCAATTCCCTTTTCCAACCATCAGCCTTCTTGTCTCAGGGTCACTGCATCTGTGCTTTGTGTTTGGGGGTGAGGGGGAGAAGGAGGGGGTTTATAGATAGAGTGGATGCTGTGCGTGCCCCACCCAGACGTGCCGTACCAGGTGGGACATCGACTCCCCAGCTGCTGTGAGGCTGGAACGGCACAAAGATACCGAGCGGCTCACTGCTGCCTCACTCCAGGGTTAGGCAGCCCACAGCCGGGCCATGACTGACATGCGCACACAAAACGCCAGGCGCCTTGCTTCAGGTGGAGCAAGCTGGTGGAACGCGTGCTCCAGAGCTCCCTGTGGGGTCAGGCTGGAGGCTGTCTCCAGCCCATACCACCTCTTTGCTCAGCTTTCTTCCTGCCCAGCCCGCTTCCCTCCCACCCCTTCTGCCCTCCCTCTCCTTGTCCCAAGGACTCCCTCACTATATCACCTTCTAGGAGACCTGGCTGAAGAGCAAGTCACAGCGTGTGAATGGAGAGAGGGTTCCCATACCCGTTCCTCAGAGCTTCCTTCCCTCCTCAGCTTCCCTCAGGGATGAAGCTTCCCCACAACCTGGACATCTTGAGAGAAATCCCATCAGCCCACTCAGTCTACCTCCTGCATCACCAGGACAGTGGCCTTAAGTGGGACTTGAGAAATACCAGCCAACTGATATACCCAAGATGCTAGAAGATTCTGTCCTCCAGCTATTTCTCCCCCACCAGCCTGCTCTCTCCAGGATCCTCCTCTGACTCAGAGTGGGGTGAGACCAGAGGTCAGAGGAAGGCCGCTGGGGCTGTGACACAGGCAAGGGTCCATGGTGGGGCGGGCCTGTCAGGTAAGGAGGAATGGCTGAAGGAAATGGGGCATCTGGGTTGGTGGATAGGGACAAGAGCTATCCTTTTTTTTTTTTTTAAGATTTTATTTATTTATTTGAGAGAGAGAGAATGAGAGACAGAGAGCACGAGAGGGAAGAGGGCAGAGGGAGAAGCAGACCCCCTGCTGAGCAGGGAGCCCGATGCGGGACTCGATCCCGGGACTCCAGGATCATGACCTGAGCTGAAGGCAGTCGCTTAACCAACTGAGCCACCCAGGCGCCCCGACAAGAGCTATCCTTAACATTTGTGGTACCACCGTGTGACAACAGGACTAGGGTTTGAGTCAGCCTCCACCAAGGCAGACTAGACCCAGGTTGAAAAAATTTCTAACAGCTAAAGCCGTGCAACTAATAGGCTAGGCCTGGGAGCAACTGGTTTCTGGGGGTACTCAAACCTGCCTTAGGTGGGAGACTGGAACAACATGATCTCTCAGGTGTTGACCCTATCATTCCAGGCTTGCTTAGAGCTCAGTTTCCCCAGAAATTCCCTGCCCAGTGCCTTTTTGGGCTGGAGGTGCTAAGTGCCGCCTCCATGCTGCTAAGAAGTCCCCATCTGCAGGCCTATCCTCAGAGCAGTGCCCAGCTCTGGGCTAGGACAAGGGAGAGTGGGAGAGCCCCCAGCCCTGTCCCCAGGCCTCATAAGACTGGTGGCTCAGTTCCCCTTTCTGAACCAACCTCCACCCAGCCCCAGGGGAAATGAAAGTGGCCAGACAACTCGGAAATCTGACTCACTGTGAACTTGGGGGAGGGAAGATACACGGAAACATTGACATTTGGGCCCCTACGACCAAATTCTCAATCCCCTACCCTGTAGCTCATTCCCCAATCCCCAAGCCTTGCTGCTGGTCATTATACATTTATTGTGGTTCACAGCATGGGGTAGAGCCTCACCCACCACAGTGGTATTTATAGTTTGCACCTGCACCCTCTGCCCAGAGCCCTTGGTCCTAGAACAGACCGGTGGTAGTCATCAGTAGCTGTCAGTTGTGGCTAAGTGAAGGTGGTCAGAGGAAAGCTCTGTCGACCCAGAGCAGAGGCAAGCTACCCTGACGCCCACACTTCCACGTGGTCAGGCCCACAGCCGAGCAGGGGGTGGTGGAGCTGGGACACCAGGGAGGGCCTCCTTCTCTGCCCAGGGCAAGGAGGAAGTCAGCATGAGTCCTGCTGCCTAGCCTGGCCCAGCAGTCCTGTTCAAGACAAAGATTTTTAAATTACTCATGTCAGTAAGGTACGATCGCTTGGGGCGGTCTAAGGAGCGGGGTATGGAGAGGAGACTCTCATAACAAGTCTGGCCACGGCCAGGGGAGGGTGTCCAGCGGGCCAGAGAAAGGTCTTCAGCCTCAGGTGCACCAGGACCAGGCTCAGTGTGTTTCCCAAGGAGGTTTCCTCCTGCCTAGAGGTGGACTTAGATCTCATTTCAGACTATCCTAATGCCAAGAGTTCTGAATTTCAGTGGGTTTGTGCCCCATCCCTACTTTGCCTCCAGGTAGAAACAGTCACCTATAGTCCCAGGGGACCTCAGAAGCTATAGCACCACCTTGGAAAGCCCATCCCCCATTCCACGCACCTTGCTGTGAGGACTTGATTTTTCAATAGAGGGCAGGCCTGACCAGGTCTGTCTTCTCAGGGGTCTGGAGACTTGGGGTGAGATTTCTGCAGCCCCCAAGCCTAGGATTTGAGCCCAGGAGAGTGGGGAAAGCCAGAAAAACCATCAGTTTCCATGCTGAGGACCTGAGGAAGCCCTCATGGGTGAATTTTATAAAAGTGAAGCATCTGGAGGGGCAGCTCAAACTCTTGCTGAGGTGGGAAAGCCCCACAATTCACCTCCGGGCCCTACAGTTCCAGGAGCCAACCACCTGAGGAGCCTGGAACACTGTGGGGACCAGGGACCCCTATGGGAGGAAGCTCTGCAGCTCCTTGCCACCTGTGGAGTTTGTCAGATTCACACCGTCTACCGCAAACCCCACACTAAGCTCAGGAAGAAGGCAAAGGGTTCCCTGCACCTGGTATGACCCTAATCCCACACCTTTCAAGTGAGTTGACCGCATCCTGAGACAAGCTGGGGCTCTCAGGCAGCACATGCTTCTCTCGGCTTCATTCAGGGGAAGGCCGAGGTGCAGGGGGAAACCCCAAAGTAAGGCCTTTAGGTAAAAAAAGAGTCGTTTCCCAGTGCTTCCCTAGACTTGCCAGGAGTCTTAGCGCCCCGACCAGATCGTGCAAGGGAGGGCGGGGACCCTACCTCTGGCCCCTGCTGCCCCTCTAGCCTCCTCCATCGGGCCCGCCTGCGTCCCGGCTGGTGCGGGTCACTCATCCTCGCTCTGGGCTCGGGGGGAGCTCGGGCCAGTCCTGCGGAGCCACCTCCAGGGCGCGGGCTCGGGCTCTGCCTCTCCGAGCGCTCCCCCAGCTGACGGCGCCCCCTGTCTCTTCCCCACCCTTTGTGCCCCTCCCCCGACCGCCCAGAGACCCCTGCGCTTTGGGCGCGGTGGGGCGCGGGGGAAGCACCTTCTACCCGCGTCGCGGCCACAGCCTTCTCACTTTCCCTCTACTTTGAGACTCTTACTTGTTTTGTTTCTAAGTTCGAGGGAAGGACGTAAAGAAACCAGTGCAAGAATTGCTCCCGGTGGTTCTTCTCTGCTAGGGGGGCAGCTCCTCTTGTTGTCGGTCGCGAGTCAGAAGACGACGCCCCTACCCGACACCATCTGCCCACACACTCTGCCCGAATTCCTGCCGTTGGCCTTAAGGTCCTGGGAAGACGATCCCTTTAAGCCTCATTCTCTTAACCGACAGGGTGAGGGGTGCCGGGGGACGAGGGATGCGGAGCGCGCAGAAAGGCGGAAGACCCTCTAAGACCCAAGCCAGCCCGCCGTCGCGCGCCCGGGCTCTCCCCATCCTTGCGGTGGCTTTGGCGAGACGAAGGGAGAGAAGAGAGGAGCTGGCGCCCCTGGCATTGGTGGCCACTCGGCCGCCCGGGCCTCCGGGCGCCCGCGGGACGGAGGCTGCCGGTGCCGGGCATCCCGCGCTGATCCGGACGTAGGAGAGGCCGCCAGACCGAGGGGCGCGCCCAGCGGTAGGTGCACTCCCCACCCCCACCCCACCGCTGGAGCTCCACTGCCTGGCGGAGCCGGACGCGACCCCCTCCGCGCTCCCGCCCTGCCCC